CATAGTAAACAGCGCTAACAGATGATTATTTTTTTAGTGTTGTTGGTCAATATTATGGTGTGTGGCACACATCACGTTTACCAGTTTTTATGGTGGTTACACTATCAGTTCGTTAGTTTACCGAGTTGATGTATAAAATAATTAACGGGTTTAGATGGATACTTAAGTATGCAGAACGAGTTAAGTGCTTTCTATGTTTGTATATGTATTTAAGTTTACGCTAATTTCATATTGATCATATTTTATGTTTAGTAAAATACTTACATTTAACATAAATGAAAAATGTATCAATTACGTACTAAGGTAATTTAATACATACTGCTCATAGATACTAAACAAAAACTATCTTCGATAACAATGTTATAAAAAATTAAAGATAAATTATTAACTAGGTAACGTAATATTTTGCAGCCGGATTTGAATACCGAGGTTTTGAATAAATGAACAATAACACTAATTTATACCAACACTTCTCAACTTGTTCAGTTTGCTTACGCAAATCGCGTTATTTAATATTTACTTATCTTGTGTAATTTTAAAGCCGGGTATTTAACTGAAAATACCTAGGTGTACGAGGATATACATTTATGTTTTCTGAATAAGTAAGTATATTAAAAGTAAATATTACTCACCTAGAATTTGTAGAAAGCTATCCTCTAACCTCATAGTTGAGGAGAGGAGGTAGTCCGTCCCCTCCAGCTCGCTTGGCGCAAGAACGTCGCTCCTCATATTGCACCTTAACAACACAGCCTTAAAGTTAAATATCGAACACCGTAACGTCTATAAAGACATTTTGTTTATCCGCCGACAACAATTTATCTGGCACCACAACTTTTGCTTCACACACTCCGAAAACTTTATGCAACGATTGAATACCGAAAGCGTTATTACGTCACAACATTGCACTGTTCCTGGGTTTTGTGAGTTTACAATTCTGCAAGTCAGTCCGGTGCGACGTCTTGTTCTTGTGTGGTGTCGGTGCGTACACCCAGTGGAGCCGGTTATTAACTGTTCACGTGTGGTACATTTTGTGATAACGCGGAGATTACGCGGCCGCGACTGTCGTGGCGCGCGGTGTTCTGCCGGGCACTCCTACTAGCGCGCGCATCAGCTGATTCGTCCACTATAAATAATATGGAACTATTTGGATGCAGTTTAACAGATACTGACACCCCTAATTTAAACCTCGTTGACTGTAGGCTAAACGTTACGTCACAATGGAAAAAATTGTTTTCATAATTTTCTTATAAATAGTTATGGTGTATAGTGCGGTTGCTAGCTCGCATGCACTTGATAGGATGCATTGAATTAATTAACATTAAATTGCCTTAGCCTTGAAAGTTAAACAGATCAGATGCAACGAAGGAAAATATTTTTCACGTATCTTTAAGACAGAATGAGACAATTTCGCTTTAAAAATGTTTTAACGCAGGTATCAATTATAATTTCAAATAAAATGTAGAAAACCAAGTAAAAGAAGTTTAATGTTATGTCTAAGCGCTATTTCAAATGTGCTTCCAACAATGTTTCAGTCATAATAATAATATGGCTTTAGAAATATTATTTCATAATGAATAAAAAATCTCACATTCTTACCGTAAGTTAGGGTAAGTGCGCTAGTTTTCGTCCAATTATCGGAGTTGCCAACTTTGTGATGCGAAATGAATATCTTAAAATACCCTTACTCATATGTATCATATGTCATTTTAGTCCTTNTTTACTAAGTTAAATTAAAAAATGATAAGGCATCCAATTTAAACATATTTAAGGAATCAACATAAACTTCATGTTCTTGTACCAAATTGGTTGATAATAATTGTCGATGAAGTGATGTTTACTGAGATTCAAGGGCAAGTTTATGACTCCATCTTTGTTTTGTTTTTGCCGTCTTAAAAATCATAATAACATCGAAAAGCAACAATATAGTGCTCGTGCGTTGCTAGGTTCCTTACTTGTAACGATCATACCTAATTAATTTAATTTAGTTAAAAATAAATCTTATATCCTTCGCGTAATTTATGATATCGCCAACAAGGCAACTAAAATGTTGATATTTAAAAACCAATTATAAGCTTCAAAATAATAAAAGATGACTATGAGATTGAATAAAAGCATCGTTTAACACTAGTACAGTTACATACATACATAAAACAGTGGGTAATAAAAGTTTTAATAGCTATCTGATGACGTAAATGATGTTTCCGCAATCCTTCTACTCTTACTTGTACATGTGGGAGTGAAAGGCATAAACATCACCTGTCGCCAGTTCGAAATAATCTTATAACGTACTCGTATAAGTAGTAGATTAACCCAAATGGCAATGATTGAGCTTACTCCAAGCACATGAGTTTATTTTCGTACTTAATAGGCTTCAAATGTTGTAGTCAAATCTACCTATTGAAAAATTAAATTAAACATTAATAAAATTTTTCGTCCCTTAGCTTCGTTTTTAAAGGAAATCAGTCGCGTGGGAGCGGGCATCCACGGATTAAGTAACAACCAACATAATAGCCAATATGATCCCTTTGGACTTGTATTTTAAGGTTCAATATTCCATAAGTCTAAAGCTGACCGGACCCTAATTCAATATTAAATTATCAATTTATCAAGTATATAGTTAGAGGGGCCCAAATTGTATGATATTGTCTATGATATTAGTCTTCGTGCAAGTAAACGGTTACAGTGAAACATAAACAATTATTCTAGTAATTATCAGGTAATAAAATAAGTAATATTTTATATGTGTCTAATAGCTTTTTAACGTAGAAAACTTTAGTAACTAAGTTAGGATTAGTTTATCAGTCCTCGTGACTAAACTTTGCGATTAGCGAACGAAAAATATCAAATGCGAAATAATCCGTACTTGGGTCAAGATAGTGATAGTACCAGTGACAGAAATACGCTATCGTAAATTATTGGGGATAAAGTAGATTAAATTTACTATGACGCATCCTAAAGTCCGGCTGAAGTGCACTGTGTACTTGCACTTATCTGTTAAGTAAGAAGAGGTGTAGAAAAGGATTTGCTGTAGAAAATGAAAATAGGCTTTTAATAAGTGGTTTTACACGTCCCAGTATTACTAACGCTACAACTGCTTCGGGATAATAAATGGGCCAGCGCTGAGAAGAAGCAGCGCAAGAAACTCAATCAACAACGTAATGTGGAGGGTTAAGAATATACCATCCAGTTAACTACTAGTGGAAAATTAATTTTGATGTTGAAGGGACGACTGCTGCTCATCAACAAGCTAACATGGAATGTTAACGTTAGTTGATAGTACTAATTTACTGGTTGAGTTTAATTAAATTTAATTATAAAGTTCATTCAAATCGGACTTAAATAATTCATGACTCGAAAACCGATTATGTAAATGGACTCAAGGAAAGGAGTGAGTGAAAGGTTTTTTGTACGAATGTAACCACTTATTCGAGATTGAATTGTACTTATACTTAATTTAGTAAGTTTTGTTATTGTTAAAAATCATAATGTTCAAATAAAATAAAATGTTTTTAAAAATTACATTTATTTGACATCAAAAGCGTTACAATATTTGTAAATATCATATAAAAATCGAAAATCTTTTCTAAAAAAGCGCTAAGTATACATTAATACTAATTAAGGCACTACATCGACTCGCGTCTACAACATGGCAATAGTTTGTTCGAGATAATTAAAAATTATATTGATCACGTAAATCATTGATTGAGAAATATAAAAAAATAAGAGAATAATATCTAAATGGCATAATTTGTACAAGCAACGCATTTGGCACTCGGAGATTTCGTTTATACAATGAAATTCGTATTACAATCTTATCTCTAAGTTCTTATACATGTTTACTATGATTATGAAACCCATTAGACTTTAATATAAACGATATCTTTACGATAATAATCTTCGACTTAGGACAAAGGACGGACCGAATTAACATTATCAAAAAATATTTCTTTATCATAGATATTTTTCCAAAGTTTCATAACCAGATACAGATAAGTTAAAGCAAATAAAATTTATTATCTCGGCAATAAAATTCACAAAAGTGTTTGTACTGACATTCCTAGGACGGATATGGCAGATGTAATAATACTAAATTATATTTTTGTGACGGAAATTTAATGTAAACAATTTTCTGTTAACACATACATAGGTACTCTACGACGATTGTTAGTAACGTACTTTACAACGAATATACATATATTTATTAGTTTTTACTAAAGAGACATAAAGATGGCGCCCGAATCGCCGTAAACGTATAGTCCCCGGCAGAAATCATGCGCAGATAATTTATTTTCATCCCCATTTATCAGTCGAACCCTCAAGATTTTTTGTAGTTGCAGCCTTGTACTTGTGTGGCTAGCCTATTTGATGTCAGCATGTGATTGAACGCCTTTAATTTAACGAACGTTAAATGAATTAAGATAGCTCAACGTTTTAACGAGTAAGCTGATTCAAAGCTAAAGCCTGGTCCGTGAGCACGTAGAATTTTGTCCAATGACCCCAAGCTACCCATCCTTATCGCTCGACAAAATTCTACGTGCTCACGGACCAGGCTTTAGCATTTTGTAAATAATATACGTAGCTGAATCTAAAACAGCCTAGTAAATAAATTCATTGCGGAATTACAACTAAACAGCTTGGCGTCATTCAGCTAGCTCGTAAAACGTTGTAATTAATTATCAGATGGGTAGGTTCTTTTAGGCCCGGTTTTTTGATTCGTAGTTAAAATAACCAATGGTCAAATTTGACAGATGTCAAATGACAAGTGGTTAAATATCAGAAAAAAATGTTTTTCGAACAATGGTTAGCTTGACTTTTAGTACATTTTTTAACTATTTGTTTACATTTTGTTAATATTTAACCATTAGTAGCAAAATTTGACAATTAGTTATTTTAACTAAGAATCAAAAAACTGGGCCTTAGGCATTCAATTGAATTCAGTTGTTTAATGAACGTGCTAACACTGCTAACTTTCATTTAATTAGAACAGGTCTTGGGCAAAGTGAAAGACTTTGATTTTTAAGGACTATCAGAGCTGAGCAGTCACAGTTTTCATATTTTTTAGACTTCTTCTTAAATGGAGTCTACTTAAAAAAGTTTAAATTAAAATCTGTCAAATGCGTGTAATTGAAACTTAATACTATACAAATATCGCATAATATAAATATGTAAATTGTGAAAATTCGAGTATATTTATTTATTAAGGCACTATTCGTAGCTGTAAAATAAAACTTAAATTCAATGACAGTAGGATTTATTCGAAGTTAATACATAAAAAAGAAAATTTATTTTGGACACGTCATGTCATGGGCATCAAGCTTTACTTTACAGGGTAAAAGATCAGATCTTAATTTTCAACTTTCGAAATAAAAAATAATTTCAGATTAAAATTATTACGACCATAGAAGCTTTAAATATCGTAGTGCAATATAAAAAAAATAATGGTGTAAATCACCCTACTATGTCAAATATTAAAAATAAAACTACGAGTAAAATACTAATATCCATTAATACATTACATCCCTGATTTCTATCAATAATAAATAAATGTGATTTAGATCTTAAACGCTACGAATTCTTTATTTTAGTTCCACTATAAACTTATATCTGACGAAATATTACTTCGTTGAACGATTGATTAAGTAGACATTAAATTGGGTGGAAAGTTAAGTATATTATTTCGGAATAAGTAGATATTTTATAAAATATTTTGTACGTAAAAATGTGATATGTTTGCATTAAATTGCTGTGATGGATAGATGGCGCTGTGCGCTATTATGGAATAGGTATATTTGTTTAAATAGACCATTTTATCCTCACTTAGCACCCGGTTTTTAATCACGAGTGCGAAACCAAGCAGCACATTATAAAACCTTCTACATCAAATATTTTTGTGTTATTTTATCTGTCTGCCTTAATACACATTGACTGGCTAGCTAAAGACGGAAAATTTCAAAAATACTCATTTCAGTCTTATCTTAATGTTAACTCTATGAATATCTGGAAGAATTTGATTTTCACCGAGGTACTTTACAACTGTAAACTTAATTATTAATATTGTGGCGGGTACATAATATTTTTTTACCGTTCATGGCATTTATAAAGCCTGCGCATCCACTTCCTCGCCGTAGTCGAAGTCATCGTACGTCAGATCTTCGTCTATGGAGTTGTCTGTGGTCGCCTTCCCGCCGGGGCAGGATAAACATCTGAAAAAAATATATGAATCAATTAAAAACAAAAGAATTAAAAAAGTTGCTATTGTTTAAGCTGTATAATTTTTATACAGGTTTAGGTTAGGTTATAAAATAATGTATTTTATCTAAAGTATTAATAGTAGAAGCGCTATTACACGCGTCCACGCGTGAACCAGTGCGGCGTGCACAGAAGGAGCATTTTCACCATCAATCCCTAATTTTTTAGTGTCCCCTATGGTAACACATAACAGGAATTTAGGTTTCATAGGGGTCACTTAAAAATTAAGGATTGATGGTGAAAACGGGCATCAGTCACTTTTCTTGTTGTTTTTCACACAGAAGATTTTCATAGATTGTAATAATTTTGTCTTTTACCTTCTTTTGTTACCTACTATTAATTAACCAAACCTAAGTTTCACAAATATTCGATGTCTAATTTCCGATTAAAATCGTTAATATTATTTTTAAACCTATTGTGTATATTTCCACTTAACGCCTCAGCGGGGAAGACACTGGCTTATGATATTGGCATAATAATTAGCAGCACCTGCGGTTATTTGATACGCGCGCGCGCAACTATGCTAATGCGGAGGGCGGCCTTGCCAGCTGCGGGTCAACAAGACGTTTCCTAGTCTTAGGAGATTGGCGATAGCACAGATTACATTTTGGATGGAATATTATGGCTGCAATAGATGCTCTATTACAGCTTAATGCTCTATTACAGCTTAATGCTCTATTACAGTTAAGAGGATACAGTAGAGTAGGAGAGACCAAAGTGAGTTGTAACAGAGGAAAGTTGTAACATTATAATTTTTTTTTAAACCTATTAACTAATCAGCGCGCATTTGGTAACTCACGACTTGAACTAAAAACTCCCACTGTTACGAGCTCGCTAGTAGTTAAAAGTTCCAAAAATTCATCAGTCACAACTCTCCTGTGTTACTACAACTCACTTCGGTCTCTCCTACATACAGTGTGAGTCACGTTAAAGTGTACATATGAAAATAAATGAAACTAGACCTATTTTCATCGACAAAAAAGAGGTCAAAATTTTTTTGAGATTTTTTTTAAATTTTTTATAGAATTTTTTTTCTTCCAAATACTTATTGTAAAGAAAACGTAATAACTTTTAAACTAAGCGGTATATCCTGATAAAATAAAAACAGTAATAATGCTAAATAACAGGCGATACTAAAAAAATACATAAAATACACAAAAAAGGCTAACAAATAATAAAAAATGATACATTTTGAAAAAAAATTGCTTTTAAATTCGTGTTTTTTTGGTTATTTTATAAATTTCTCCAAAAAATGCCCCTATAACCGGTGGTTTTTATTACTTTGTATTATTTTCTATCGTATTACCTTCGTAAAACCAAAAATCGCATATCTCTATCGCTATCACAACGTTTGCAATGATCGTTTGAACTAAGCCTCTCCGGGCGCGCCATTCAACGCTTCGTTAACAACGAAACTGAAAATGGCTCTAGATTTGTAATTTTGATGAAAACAAGTTAGATTTCAAATAAAAACAAAAGATTTTGAAGTAAAATAAGCATTTTAGTTAAAATTAAAATTGTCTCTACCTGTAGCGGAGAATAATGTTGTNTTACCTAGTACTATGTTTAATTAACCAAACCTAAGTTTCACAATAAATTAAATATCCGATATTTAATTTCCGATTAAAATCGTTAATATTATTTTTAAACCTATTGTGTATATTTCCACTTAACGCCTCAGCGGGGAAGACACTGGCTTATGATATTGGCATAATAATTAGCAGCACCTGCGGTTATTTGATACGCGCGCGCGCAGCTATGCTAATGCGGAGGGCGGCCTTGCCAGCTGCGGGTCAACAAGACGTTTCCTAGTCTTAGGAGATTGGCGATAGCACAGATTGTACATTTTGGATAGAATATAGCAGGGGTGGCCAACTTGATTAGAGACATAAGATCTACTGTTTACTAACAAAACCCTGGGCGATCTACCACTTACATACTTCTTGAAATCTTAAATGAAACAGCATAGTTTAGTATACAATCGTAGAATTTTTTGCCTTGCCGCGATCGACCGGTTGGCCATCCCTGGAATATAGTATCTATCTAAATATATTTAACTCAAAGATGACTGACTGACTGACATAGTGATCCATCAACGCACAGCCCAAACCACTGGACGGATCGGGCTGAAATTTGGCATGCAGGTAGATGTTATGACGCAAAAATCCGCTAAGAAAGGATTTTAAAAAACTCCACCCCTAAGGTGGTAAAACGGGAACCGCTAGTTACAGATAAGTAGAGACAGGACCTATTATACATTGTTAATGGAATATAGCATTTATGTAACGTCTACATAAGATGCTGTAAGGAAAACCAATTTCAAAAGTTGTAAGACATTTCGCAGTCTAAGAAGATACTGTCTATAGCACAGATTGCACATTTTGGGATGCTACTTGGGATGTATTATAGCGTTAGTTTGTGGCGACTTCAAAAGTGTGCAAACCATTTAGGTATATAGAACTTCATTTGAACTGTTTATAGGAAAGGCACAGGAATTTATAGTTTTTATCTTCACTGAATGAACCATTCAATGTTATCAAATTTCTCGTGAAATATGTGACATTGTTACAAAGTATGCAGCTATGATCGTAGGTTAAACGATTTATTTATTTATATTTAAAAAATCACTTTAACGTAACAATTACCTGCTTTCATTGATTCCGTAGTGCAGGCACTTTTCTCCGACGCATTCGCAGCAGCCATCGTGGAACCACCTGAAATCAATAATTTATACAACTTTAATATGTAATGACTAACAAGTGGTATCTATTCTGCTTGGTTGTAAAAGCATCGCAATTGATCTTTTACAAACGGTCAAATATGCAAATAATTTTATAAATTAGCTTAAGGGTATAATTTGCAAACAGATCCCTAAATGGAAAAATAGTTTTAGAAACCCCTGAGCCATTTTTAAGGACCTATCCAACGATACCCCACACGTTACTTCACGTGAAGTCACTTTACATGTAGGGAAGCTACACTAAAAAAATTTGTATTTAAAATTTTATTTTACCGTTTTATCGGCGTAATTAATATACATACCTCCACAAAATTACTGCTCTCTAGTGCCAATAGTTTCCAAGCAAAACCTCGGACAGACAGACAGACAGACATATAGAAACTATAAGGGTTCCTTGTCAGGACTACGGATCCCTAAAAATGACATTTAAACTGGTATCCCTTACCGCAAGCTATTGGCGCCCATGGAGCGGCAGGAGGCGCGGCACTTGTCGCACGACATGCACTGAGACATGTAGGCCACGGTGCAATTCAGCGTTACCACGTCGCGGCTCACCGGCTCCGATTCCTGCTCCACGCTCTCTGTGGATGTAACGGTACAGATATTATAAAGTGATCTTATGGAGATATTCTTCCGGATTGATATGAGCGCTTCCCAGCTAAAGCGGTTTAAATCACGTTAACCCCACTTTGCTCGTTGGCGTTGAAGGAATCATAATCTTTGTAATTCGTTACTAACTAACTGATATACAAAAGGGAACGTTCCTCAGTATCACTCCTTCTTTCTATGATAGCTCGGCGTTCGATTATAAAACTCTAGCCTAAGTGTGTTCGCGTCTCACCAACTGATTCTTGCTCCACGCTCTCTGGGAATGGAATGGGGCTATCTTGTTTTGAAGTGATCAGCTTACTGACCGATTCTTCGGGACGGGTTTGAATAGCGTTTACCCCACTTTGATCGTTGGCGTTGAAGGAATCAAAATCATAGTCACTAACTAACTGATAGCATATGCAAAAGCGAACGTTCCTGAGNTTGTAGGCCTTTATTTAAACGATCATAGCAAATGTTGTGATAGGGATAGACACATACAATTTTTGGTTTTAAAAAGATAATACGATAGAGAATAATACAAAGTAATAAAAACCACCGGTTATGGGGGCATTTTTTGGAGAAATTTATCAAATAACCAAAAAAACACGAATTTAAAAGCAGATTTTTTTCAAAAAGTATCATTTTTTATTATTTGTTGGCATTTTTTGTGTATTTGATGTATTTTTTTAGTATCGCCTGTTATTTAGCATTATTACTGTTTTTATTTTATCAGGATATACCGCTTAGTTCAAAAGTTATTACGTTTTCTTTACAATAAGTAATTGGAAGAAAAAAAAATCTAAAAAAAATTTAAAAAAAATCTCAAAAAAATTTTGACCTCTTTTTTGTCGACAAAAATAGGTCTAGTTTCATCTATTTTCATATGTGCACTTTAACGTGACTCACACTGTATACATGGAATATGTATGTATAACATAGCATCTATTAAGGACGTCAGATGCGTAGACGTCTACATAAGATGCTACAAGGTTTGGTTTGAAGTGCTGTCCATACATTGGGAAAAACAGATTTCAAAAGTTTTTAAAACATTTAGGATTCTTTTGAAATGTTAAAAAGAAAGTTTAAAAATATATTATTAAGACTGACATTTATATTTTTATAGTAGATGACTAACAGGAATTTATAGTTTTTATCATCACTGAATGAATCGTTCAATGTTATCAAATTTCTCGTTAAATATGTAGCATTCTTACAATGTAGACCAAAGTACAATTTAACTAAAACTTATACATGATGATCATAGTGATATCACATCTCATAGATTATAATAAAATATGTTTTTCCTGAATCATGCATACTAATCCTTAGTATCAGTTTAATGCAACTACTTAGGTATATTTACCTGCTTTCATTGATTCCGTAGTGCAGGCACTTTTCTCCGACGCATTCGCAGCAGCCATCGTGGAACCACCTGAAATCAATAAATTATACAACTTTAATTATGTAATGACTAACAAGTGGTATCTATTCTGCTTGGTTGTAAAAGCATCGCAATTGATCTTTTACAAACGGTCAAATATGCAAATAATTTTATAAATTAGCTTAAGGGTATAATTTGCAAACAGATCCCTAAATGGAAAAATAGTTTTAGAAACCCCTAAGCCATTTTTAAGGACCTATCCAACGATACCCCACACGATGGGGTAAAAGATGAAAAAAAATTCATCCCCACTTTACATGTAGGGGAGCTACCATATTTTTTTTTTAATTTTATTTTACCGTTTTATCGGCGTGATTAATATACATACCTCCACAAAATTACTGCTCTCTAGTGCCAATAGTTTCCAAGCAAAACCTCGGACAGACAGACATATCGAAACTATAAGGGTTCCTTGTCAGGACTACGGAACCCTAAAGGCCTATTCAGACCTTAAAGCGGTATTCGCTACCGTCTGCGGTAGAGAAAACCCAGTGGGTATGCGGTAATAATACTGTTCAGACCTAAGCGGTATTCGCTACCGTTTGCGGCAGAGAAACCGCTCTAGCCGCGGTACTTGATAAGCGAAACCCGCGCGGTATGTATCTCTACCCACAGCGGCAGCGAATATCGCTCAGGTTTGAATAGGCCTTTAAAATGACATTTAAACTGGTATCCCTTACCGCAAGCTATTGGCGCCCATAGAGCGGCAGGAGGCGCGGCACTTGTCGCACGACATGCACTGAGACATGTAGGCCACGGTGCAATTCAGCGTTACCACGTCGCGGCTCACCGGCTCCGATTCCTGCTCCACGCTCTCTGTGGATGTAACGGTACAGATATTATAAAGTGATCTTATGGAGATATTCTTCCGGATTGATATGAGCGCTTCCCAGCTAAAGCGGTTTAAATCACGTTAACCCCACTTTGCTCGTTGGCGTTGAAGGAATCATAATGTTCGTAATTCGTTACTAACTAACTGATATGTAAAAGGGAACGTTCCTGAGTATCACTCCTTCCATCTATGTGATAGCTCGGCGCTCGATTATAAAACTCTAGCCTCAGTGTGTTCGCGTCTCACCAACTGATTCTTGCTCCACGCTCTCTGGGAATGGAATGGGGCTATCTTGTTTTGAAGTGATCAGCTTACTGACCGATTCTTCGGGACGGGTTTGAATAGCGTTTACCCCACTTTGATCGTTGGCGTTGAAGGAATCAAAATCATAGTCACTAACTAACTGATAGCATATGCAAAAGCGAACGTTCCTGAGTATCACTCCTTCCTTCTATGTGATAGCTCGGCGCTCGATTATAAAACTCTAGCCTAAGTGTGTTCGCGTCTCACCAACTGATTCTTGCTCCACGCTCTCTGGGAATGGAATGGGGCGATCCTGTTATGAAGTGATCAGCTTACTGACTGATTCTTCGGGACGGGTTTAAATAGCGTTTACCCCACTTTGATCGTTGGCGTTGAAGGAGTCATAATCATAGTAACTAACTAACTGATATCATATGCAAAAGGGAACGTTCCTGAGCATCACTCCTTCCTTCTATGTGATGATATCTCGGCGCTCGATTATAAAACTCTAGCCTAAGTATGTTCGCGGCTCACTTAAACTCTGATTCTTGCTCCACGCTCTCTGGGAATGGAATGGGGCGATCTTGTTATGAAGTGATCAGCTTACTGGCCGATTCTTCGGGATTGACAAAGCTTAAGAGCGGTTTCGCACTAATTCCGATTTGAATCCGTGAAAACAAGATGAGGAGGATGTTCTGAACAATATGTAGTTCTACAAGACGGATTCAGATCTACGTAGTGCGAAACCGTTTTAAAAAATTTGTACAACTTTACAATCAAAAATAAGATAATATTGTAGCGATTATCTTGTGTACTTGTGTCTCTTGGATTTCTTGGATGAGAGGCAAAAGAATGTAATTCTTGTTTTTCTCATTAACACACTGAAACCGAACACCTTTTAGATCATTAAATTGTGTTTTATTATTGCCTAATCATTGGATAAAATACAAGTTCCTAATGTTTGCAACATTTGATTTGCTATCGATGGAAAGTTTTGTGAGAAAACGGACTTGCAAGTAAAATATAAACTAATAATAAATCTGCGATATCGTGCACACTTGCGTATCGATGAGTCAGTTGTTTAGTTTAATTTACAATTTATAAGATTCTCTTCCTTACTCTTAATTAATCTTACGAGCTTGCTGTAGTAAATAACATTATTTAATTGTATTTATGTTATGTTATTTCGTGATGCTAACGCTGTAGAAAGACCGACAAATTAGCCAAAATCGTAAAACCATGTAGGTACGCTACGTTTATTTACATTACTTAATAATCATCCTCAATAATTAATTAAACGTAGTGACAAAGTATTATTAGAAGTTAAAACCAAATGTTGGCCAAACATTCTCTATTCAGGTAGTATAGCTCAAACAAAACAGCCGTAAATCTGCAACCCAAGTGCATCATTAATTAGGATGGCCAATTAAAGTCATTTCTACATTATCAGCCACGAAGTTAATGAGCTATTTCACGTTCTAAATAATCGTTTCACCGGAAGCTTTGTAACTCTAATCCCACACCCTTGGGCATGACATACAAGTATTCTAATTTTATGAATTTATAATATCTAGATGGTAATTTGATATCATGCGCCATCGCCAATGTTGTAGCCACAGAACGAAAGAAGTTGTAGCCATATTACACAGCATTTTAAGGTGAGTATAGACTAGAACATTCTATGTAATGTAAAGTTCTTACGAATTGTATAATACAGGTAAAATGTACGACGGTTGGTCCGTTGAAGGGACACTAGATTTCACTAGAACATATCATAGTGGTTCATTGTTTTGTTACAAGTAAATGCTCTAACTAATCTATACTCTTCTTACAAAAGTACAGGCGTAACAGTAAGAGTAGGCGCACACCGTTGATTTTTCGTCGGCCGATAGTTTAGTCGGGCAGTTGATCAGTATGGGCATGTATGGGAGTGCGCACACTACGCCGATTCGATTTGGCCGATTCTTCATACAAATTAAAATCGGGCACAACTATCGGCCAACTAAAAATCAACGGTGTGCGCCTACTCTTAAGGTAACGAAACTGATAACTTTGGTAACATTACTGTTTGAGATTCCATGAAATGAGCTGGCTCTTTTAAATGGTCTATGCAGGTAGTCAGGCATTCCAAGCTAATGACTCACGCCCAATGGGGTGCCCATAATGTTCTTTTTTAAGGCACTTCTGTGAGGTCTCAATTTTCTAGGAACATTATCACTTCAGATTTAACGGTCGGGCGGCGCATTGTTCTGTGTTCTGGCCCATTCATTAGAGAATTGCGATTAGCTAACTAGGAGATTAACAGTAAACCTGAGTGTTCAAAACCTCATTTTGATTTTTAGATCTACTTTGGAAGAAATGATAATATTTGAAAAGAAGTAGGTATTTTTTCAAATAACCAATGGACTGAGAATTTTACAAGGCATGATTTTAGGGCTAGTATCTTACCCTATCTTTCGCCCACAACTATGTGTCAAAAGTAACCTGTATAAAAGAAATCATTGGTGTTGAAAATAATGAGCAAAAAAAGGCCTTTGCTTTATAATAACAGTCAATACCTAACCATTTAAATATTGTTGTCAAAAAGTCTGACTTCAGGGTCGAAGAAAGATCAGTTATTATGGATGAATAAGAATTTTGCAAAATATGTATGTCAACGTGAAATTGTGAACTCTGTCAGTTTATAATATAACACGTTCGATTGTAAACTAACAGTGGGTTAGGTTAGGTTAGATTGTAATTTCAATACGTCAGATTATAATCTGACAGAATTCACAATTTTACAGTGACATGTACATAATTTAACTAATAAAATCTACCAATTTTATAAACAACACATACTACTAACTCACTAAATTAGATATCATAGTATTATTTATTAGTCTTAGATCAATTTATTGATTCTATTTTTATCTAGTTTAGTGATTTAGCTAGTTTTTTATTCTGATGAGTGATGAGACTTAAAATTGCTTACTACTCATGTTTTTAATAATAATTATGCTATAAAATTCTCAGCGTTCGAGGATATATATCAAGGGATATATATCAAGATATATATCGGATATATATCCGATATATATCACCAGTTTTGACGATATATATCAATTTTTAAAATTTGATACTGTTTTTGTACTTTTGATATAAGATTTTTATTTTTTTAGTTGATTTTGCCGTATTTAAAAGAAGATTTTATGTTTTTGCTTTATTTGTCTGATTTTAGGTTTTAAAAACATTAAAAACATGATAATGTAACACATATGCAATAGTATTCATAAATAATACAATAAAATAATAGTATAGCTTTCATACAAAATTGATATATATCAAAGTTGATATATATCAGATATATATCATAAATATCCGATATTTTGATATTTAATAATAAATATCGGATATTTTCGAACCCTGAAAATTCTAGTTTTAATCTTTGGGAGAGGACAGTTTGGAGAATTTGATGAGAATAATACAATACTTTTGAACAAAAACAAAATATGTATTATCATGATTATTGATGAAAAAATACTGAAAATACAAGTACTGGTACTATAGTTATTGCAACACACGAAGGCGAGTGAGCTTTATTTGTGTGTGTACGTGTACATGCACGTAACGATTGTGTAATGTCTATCAAAACTTTTGAAAAACTAACAGTAGAGAGCCACCACACATGTAAAGCTCACTCGACTTCGTGAACTGCAACAACTATAATAAAATGTCATAAGTACTTACGCAAGTGGTACACCAGTTGCTTCTCAGGTGTAGGCCTATAGGCCGACAAGTCAATATCAACAGGGTATGTGATGGAAAGCCAGCGCTCTTGTGGGTCAATGTCACTCGTCAGCGCGGTGAATAAGCCAGGCACTCCGTCAGCTAGCTCTTCCACATAAGACGTTTTTGAGAGTTCAGTGTGTGTGTCATTTGGTTTAGGGCACATGTCTGTTGGAAGATACATAAAATTTAAGTTTCATTCATGGATTTAGGAACATTTACATACAAACATGTTATACATTTGTATTAATTCACAATATAAATGCGGTTTGACTGAATATGATTATATTGTATCATTTTCTTACCCACACAACTGCAGCATTCACTGTACAGATAGCTGAGACAGTTGAAGCAATCTTTGCAGCAGGAACAGTCCTTCAAGTCACATTTGCAGGACTGGGTCAACATACATTTGGACACCACACTGGCACAAATAGCTTCATTACAAGCATAAACGATGGGCACAACGCATATTAGCGCCACGATAAAGTACATTCTACCTGCCATTGCTAATATAAACACTTTACGTTCTTGTAAACAGGAGTTAGAGGAATTCACCACTTGGAAAAATAAACAACACAAGTTGTAAGCAAAGTTTGGAGATGAACAAAATGTAGGATTTGCTATTAATTATGATTATAAGGTAAATATAAAATGAAATATTAATAAATTCCGCACACTTTAAATAAAGTTAACTCAAGATTTGGACTCGCAAACTTTTCACTTTTTTATGTTTTCAACAAAACACCACAAAACACTTCGTACTTCGCACAGATATGGATTAGAGTAGATACAGCAAGTTGCTCGTCAAAGCGTGCCATTCCGATATGTCCAAATGGACATACATGGTCGAGTGATGTTCATGTAATCCGATTACAACAATCGGTTACGATGATTTTACGAGGACAGTAGTACGAACACGGTAGAAAGAAGAAATTATTTACGGATTGAGAATTGTAATTAACAGCACAAGTAACAAATAAATCAAGAAGTTAGGTCTGTGATCGCAGTATACGTCTATGTATACGACGGCACTGGATTTTGTCGTAAGAAAAAGTATTTGAAAAACTACGCATTTCTACATTTATTAAAAATAAAAAGCTTGAGTTAATAGTAATAGTCGTCTTTATAATTAGTTTTATGAAACTAGGTCAGGTACTTACTAGGATATTTAAAAGTATGGAAATAAGTATGAATTACTAGTAGTACTATTTAACATAATGGAATAACGATCATTACTTTCATAAACATTTTTATGCAAATTAATAAGAAAATTAATAATGTAGAATAACGTTTTACGTTTACCGCGACAAAATTATTTTAATCCACAGTCAGACTAGCTATAAATTTAACAAAATATCAGTTTTATCGGAATTAATTAATTTTCGAATCGAGTCACACGATATCTTTCGATGACTTTGCGAATGCAGTACGATGATACGATTACTTTTACGTTGCGGCAATCACTAAAATTCGCTAAAATGACACTAATGACGTTTAAAAAGTGGCACGCTCGGCTTCATACAATTTTTGACACATGCTGCATCTATCCATATCTGTGGTACTTCGCCTCGTCAACTTACTGAATGACTGAGTGAATGGAACGAACGCTTGTTTGTCAAAAACCCAAAACCGGAAATTGCGAAGCTAAAGTTGCCAGATAAAAGAAGCTGTGCCTACACATTTTTGCCATTTATTTTGTATGGTGGTTTCTTACATAATTGTTGTATTATAACTCTCATTAAAATACAATGTATGCTCCTAATTTCGTTACAATGTTTGCTCCATTAATAAATAAAATAAGCGCCGCTCTGTGCATATTATTATAATTCTGAAATCGGATCTATTTGTCTATTAACAAACTTCGTAAATGTCAAGGCCGTTGATTTCAAGCTGCAGCGGGAAAGTTTAAAAACTTTTTCTATGTAATAATAAATAAAAACACATAGGTACCGTGGTTTTGTATAGGTATTATTTTTATTTTTATTCAAGTTTAATCAACCATGGAAATTGGTGATTTAACAGTCATATAAATATGCGTTTTGTTTATTTCAGTACAGACCAGCACATTAATAAAATTTATGACACGGAAATGAGGCCCTCATCAATAAATAGGTAACTCGTTTTAATTTTGTCCATACGTAGGTGTGGCATTGCGGCTATTTATAATTGCAGATATCCACTTGTGCAATTAATCTTCATTACATTAAGTATATGGTACCGTTTGCGTGAGAGTGCCTAATTGAATTAAAAACACAAAAATGCCGTAGCGTAGCTTTTAAGTACAATATCATAGGAAGTAGCTAAGTAATTGTTTTAATTTGGAACTGTTTGAGACCTATACTAGTAAAGTGTTTGCTATAGTACCTATGTTTATTCTGGCTTGGTAGGTATCCAAGACAGGTCATGTATTATGTTCCCTACAAAATTAATGGGGCTAACGCGTTTTAGCAGCTCATATTGTACTTAAATTAATTAGTGCGTTAGTTGATTAGTGATTGAATTGGCTTGATTATACTTGAGTTTGTGGAGCTTAATTACGTTAATTGCAACCTTATATAGGATAAGTGATACAGTTTTGCTTGGGCCCTAAATTCGCAAGTAGTCCACGCAACACAATCAAAATATCTATACCAGGAGTGGTCTATCATGGACCACTGGTGGTCCGCAGGAGCTAAAATATGGTCCGCGAACGATTTTAAATCTTGCAAGTGATAGAAACTCGCGTGTCATGAGAGGGTTTAAGTAATTTAGTCTTAGTTTAATTACCGAACTTGTACAGAAAAATGCAAACAAAACAATTCAATACGAATGTACTTAATTGATTTGGTATCGTATTTGTTTTCTAAATAAATGTCTTCCTTTTAAATAATATTTATTTTAATTACAGTTTTTGGTTTCAGTTTAATTACGCTTTTTAAATGGTCCCTGCACACAATAAAGATATCAAAGTGGTCCCTGGTCCAGAAAGGTTGGGAACCACTGATCTACACAATAACATAGTTTATAGGTAGGCATTTAATAGTTTCAAATATTTTAATCCTGATAATTTTATAGTAAAAATGCAAATAATATATGTAGTTTAAAATATTATATAGCAAACAAGCTGTTTGTTTTCTGAATAAAACAAGAGACGCCCAAACTCGACTGTAGTCGAGAGTGAGGTAACCATTTATTTTTAAGGAATTAAATAATAAAAGGCAATTAAGTGATCTAACGCGTGACCTTGCCACATCAATCTGTGTAAAAGGATCCTATAACTTTAAAACTTTGCATACCTATAGAACTTAATTATTTGGTCATGACCTTTGTTAGTTCGCATGGCCAATGGCATGTAAGGTGCTTTACGGGACGAGTCGGATCAAGGCTCCGTGCCACACGGACGTTAGTTAACATACGTTAGTTTAAACCTAACCAATTTTGAATGTGTTAATTGTTGAAATTACCGAAGTTTGAACCGAGTCCGGATCCCTAACTCCAAAATTAAAACAATGATTGACGATTACAGGTACGTAAGAGCTTTTTAATTAAAATGGTTTTCACTTGTGCTTTTAGATAAAGCTGAAGAGTGTGTTTGTTCGCTAATTTAATCTCAGGAACTGGTTACTGAGACTGGTTCCTTCGATTTGAAAAAAATGATTTTGTGTTGGATAGCCCATTTATTGAGGAAGGCTTTAAGCTATATCAATATAACATCATCCTACAGCCAATAGTAAAGAAAAATTTAATACACAATACTTGACAAATAACGGGAAACATTTTTGAAACTATTTTCAGTACCTAGGTACCTAAGAAGTCACGGGCACATCTAAGTAGTTTAGATAATAATAAATTCATTAAAGGTTCCTATTTTTTCACACACACACACACACAACCTGCATGCAAGACTATGTTTCTTTTTTGCCCCTTTGACTGTTTTTTATGATTTTGTAATAATATATAGAATCCATTATTGGCTGTAAGAACAAAAATACCTGTTATTATAAAGAGCTGTGGTTTTCTGAATAAAGAAAAAAAAACTAAACAAAAGTAATCATGGAAGTAATTAAATCAAAAATGTACCTAGTTGTAGCAGTGCCGTACTGACTCTACTTAATTAAAGCACACCTAATAATATTTTTATTTACAGCTACAAGTCTCCGAATAGCTACCAGTTGAACTCCAAAAATGGCACGAACATCCAAGAGGTGGAATCTTCCAAGAAGAAGAAAAGACCACGACCATTTCGCGATAATTTAAAGGATTTTTTCTCAAATACCACTTTACATGGATTCCGATATGTGCTGGACGAAAGGTTTACGTTAGTCGAAAGGTAAGATATTAGCCTGTTTAACAAATTTTTAAGTAAATTAGGAAAAACTAGTTTGAACGTTAACTTTTGCTATTTATATTAGACACGATATCAAAACCAGTTTAAAGTTATACAATAAGTAGTAGTTAATATGGTCCATCACACAGTGAAGGTTAAAGGCTGTGAGTAATATCTAAAAATAATATACATAATATTTTTTAAATTACTGTTGAACAATATCAAAGTTTGTTCACTCTCCCCATAAAAACCGCGAAGGTAAACTGGCAGAGATGCCTTTATGGCAAGAAGTTCGCCTTATGTACCAATTATATCCAATGGAATGAAAGCTTAAATAAATAATAAAATAACTTACTAATAAATATTCGAGTAAGATATTATTATACTCGTAGCTCGCGTCAATAGACTATGGAAAACTATTGTGGGTACATGATAAAAATCTACTAAAAGCCTCATTGACTAAAGTGGTTTTACAGTTTTATTATCACAATTTATAAGTAAAATACTGGTTATGTTATAGTACGTTTTTTAATTATGTATGTTAATGTATTTCAATAGGTATATTATTAAGGATTTGAAGCTACCAATCTATTTATAGGAAATATCAAAGTTTGATCAAATCGCTTCAGCTGGCGCCACACGTAAAATAGTCAAGCATCTTACCTATTGTACAATTCGCAAGAATGTTAAATTACATAGAGATGCTCTATCCTAGTCTATGCTCACCTTTTAAGTTTGCAGTTGTAGTTAATAATTTTGCTTAAATAATGAATAAGTAACTACCTACGACTCGTACGAGTATAGGGATGAAGAGACTTAGGCTGGGTTGTACCATCTTCTTTAACTTTAACAAACGTCAAAAATCTGTCAAACTCCATACAAAAACCACCGGTTATCGTTAAAGTTACAGTCAAAGTTAGGTGGTGCAACTCATCCTTAATCATAAATTTATGTTTAATGCAGAATATGGTGGGTAGTTATGGTGATCATAAGTATAGTGGTGTGCGCCTTCTTCATCCGTAAGGTGTGGGTCAAATGGGACGAAACACCCGTGATCGTGAGTTTTGCCGAGACATCGAATTCAGTGTGGCATGTAAGTATCCTGTATTTAATTAATTTGATTTGATACTAGGACCTACAATTTAAGATGTAGGTAATATGGGTGAACCGACGATCTGGTGAAGGTCGCGGGAGGTGCCTGGATGCGGGCGGCGCAGGACCGGTCGTTGTTGAAATCCTTGGGGGGAGGCCTTTGTCCACCAATGAGTGTCATTTGGCTCTTAAATAATAATTAAAAAAAAAATTGCTCACTTTTAAGATCAAATGGCCAAAATATTCTCAAAATGGCTCTATCTATACACCCAATGTGTTTGGCTAACCCTTTTCCGAGCACCTGTATATAAAACTAATGTAACTTAGGTGTTTTTGTTTGCTCTAGATGTTATTTGGGTTAACTTATTTCAGATACCATTTCCAGCAGTTACTCTCTGTAGCGAGACCAAACCTAGACAAAGAATATTTAATTTTACAAAAGCGTCGAAAGAACGATGGAGTAATCCATCCATGATCAGTGATGAAGAGTGAGTACCGTAATGCATTTTGCGCTTAATTGCAGATGGCCTGCAATTATGTCACTGTAATAATTATTTTATTTTCAGTTTAAAATTATACCACGACATGCTACTTTTATGCAACAACGATCGAAGCGATGGACCGGATTACGCTGATATTAAAAGTTCTATTAAAACTTTACAAAAGGTATGCGATTTTAAAGATCGATTAGGTACCTACTAATTAAAATGTCTTACTTTTGATTTGAATACAATATGCTTCAATCATCACATCATCCAAACAGGTATACCTACTTAATCTTACCTAACATGTATCGTTAACCACCATGATTTTCCGAATGAATGAGTAAAATTAAAAAACTTTTTGTTTGAAATTTTGCCCAGACCTTAAAGGTGAGAGATAGATTAGAGCATTTTCTCGAGCATTTTTATGTAATGCAACGTTCTTACGAATGTTCGTGAAAGGGAAAGCTACACTAGAAAATAATCATAGAGCAGCTCGCGCAGATTAGTACTCACTGGCGCATCTGCATGGCAAGTCTGCGGTCTACCGTAAGCCGGGAAATTGCAACTGTGCTATATTTTCCGAAATGTTTCCCAGTTGGCCCCACCTCGCGAGGAGTTGTTCATGGACTGCCTGTGGCAGAACCTCACGTGTCCCGAGATGTTCTTCCCCACGCTGACCAAGGACGGGTACTGTTACACCTTCAACATGCTGTCTGCGGACGAAATGTTCCGGATGGAAAAGTAAGTCGGTCTAGTGCTAATATTTTATCTATCTCTATATTTATAAAAGCGAAAGGTCACTGATTGACTAACTGATGACTACTTACTCATCACGAAATCTCAGAAACTCACTAAGACTGGATTTTGAAAAATTCAACCCTTTATTTTTTGTCGCGGAGGAAATGCTTTGCGCACCGTCACCACTGCCGGGGGACAGGGTGGTGTATGGGACTCCCGGCGCCCTGAAAAGGACGGGGTATGTCCCACTAAAACCTCCGCGGCGTTCCGTCATCGCCAGAGTGGGGGTGTCGCGAGTATCCGGCCGTAGCCTTAGACTACCGCGACAAAGGGGGTAAAACGGGATCCACACGTACGAAGTCGCGGGCGGCCGCTTAATGTGCGACCACAGAACTTGCGGTAGTGAAGCAGTCCATCGGTGTACGATGTATAAAGCACCTAAAGTCTCGCTGAAGTTTTGAAATACCAAAACCACCCCTCTGAAAAGCCTGCAGATCACGAATTTACCTTTAAGGTAATTGAAGAAAGCGAAGCTCTACATTGTAGTTACTTGGCTCCGTAAAGGGTTTTCCAAATTTCAACTAACTATCACATTTTTAATATTATTCGTATAACATTTTACTATTACTTTGTGGGCGCAGATCACAAATATTTCAAAATACGCATTAATTTGATTGCAGTCTCCATAAGGACTACTACCACGTAGGTGGGATGAACAGGAGCAAATGGACGCTGGAGCGAGGTTATCCTAACGACGAGACCGTCCAAACATATCCGCTGAGAGGCCCTGTAAGTTGAGGGAAATATGCTGAAAAACCACAAACAATAATATTATCGTAATGCAGGAAATAACTGAGCATCTGAAAATTGATACCTACCTGAAAAATCATGCTTCGGTTAATATTACCATCAGAGCACAACAAACAGTAATGTATTTTAATTTAATACCTGAAAGGTAGACCGACGACCTCATAAAGGTAGCAGGAAGGCGCTGGATGCAGGTCGCTACCAACTGGCCATAATGGAAATCATTGGGGAGACCTATGTTCAGCAGTGGACGTCCTATGGCTGAAATGATGAATACCTGAAAGACAAAAAGTTTGTGCTTTGGTCTCTTTTCAAAGTTATAATTTGGGCTACAGAATATTGAAACCGCCACCGGATTCAATGATTGAAAAAAATAAGTAAATTTTAATTAACTTTGTAAAAAGGCTCTATCTTAGATCTTAATTAACATTGAATAAATTATAGAGTTTAAGTTAACACGCAAAAGGTATTTGAAACTAAAGCTACTACGTAAAGACTTAAAATAGTCGTATTTCATAGGAAAGTAAAGTAACAAAACGTTGTACGCTACAATTATGTAAATACTAATTAACAAATTGCTAACAACCATTTAATTACAGAGCTACGGCGGTGTAGAGTTCGAAGTTATTTTGCTAACTGACATTAGGGACTTGGATCAAGTTTGCCGCGGTCCTGTACAAGGTTTCAAAGTAAGTGAAATTTTAAATTATAAAGTGCTTAAACGGGGAGGTGGGACATTGGATCACCGCTCTGATAAACCAGGAGCAAATATGTATAAATAATTAATAATGTCAAATATTACTACTAACATTACATGTAAGAACATTGTAACTAACATAATTGGATCTTTGAAATCTGAATAAATGAAATTTATTTATTTATTTAAAACTAAAGTTATTTATTTAAATACTCGTTCGTAATAACGTTTGTACTTAAAACACTATTTATGAATTAACATTTAGATAGTAACTAATTTGGTCAAGTTTGAAGTGCTAATGTTAAAAATTGATTTAACTTTTGTGACAACGATTTTCTTGTAGATACCTAACAGTCAAATAAAATTTCACATTGTAAACAGTAGAATTTTTTTAATTTCCCTACGAATCAGAACATACGAAGATGGAACTTTTTAGTGAGTAACAAACAACCAACAAAGGAGAATGGACAAAAGTAATAATAAAAATAAGTAAAGTAATAATAAATTTATTTTTTGATAATAATTACATTGTAAAAAGAAAAAATTAAAAATAAGAAAGTAAGATGAATAAAAGAAAAATAATAATAATAAAAACGTTTATTTGAACCAAAAGTTACATTATGCATGTATTACAAAAGTGGTCCAAATATCCACCACTAACGAGACCTGTATTGACTAGACCTACTTGCCTATTATTTCCATACTCAAATCATACTTTTAGATATGGCTTCATAGTCCTGCCGAACTGCCCAACATGGGCCAGAACTTCTTCCGACTGCCAATACAGTACCAGTCGGCCGCCGCCATCATGCCACGGGTCATGGACACATCTGACGGACTGAAGCACTATCCACCGCACAAGTAAACTGATTTGTTTTCGAATCAAAATAATATGATATTTGAATCAAAACCTCTCTCGATGTTCTAAACGTAATTTGCAATGTTAAGCCCGTTTTCCACCACCAAAGATGGAATGTCTAGCGGGCTATCTTCGAGTACATAAAATAGGATTGCTTTTCTACAGAGTAAGAGTTTGGGAGTATTGATTTGATGAGCGAGCTCATTTTTATTCTTTTTGCACGCTTTGTCATTTTCGCTCTAAGTACTTTTTGTTGGTGGAAACAGATGTAGGCATTTTTGTACTGTGAGATGCAAAATCCGCTTTACAATTTTTTTCTGAAGATACTTATTCCGGTTCTTCTGCCGCATGTTGATTGAAAAGGCCTATCTATGTAGGTCAGAGAGCATGTAGGTAATATCTACTTACACTTACACACATCATTAATTATTATCAAACACGAAAACCTCGCAAAATAAGGCTTAGCTCAAGTCAGGTTTCTCAATGTAGAGCGATTTGATTGAATGACATTAAATCGAGTTTTGAATGTTGTATTTGTACGTAATCGAACCTCAAGTTCTTTTCCCTAACTTTTTCTCGTCAAAAAACAATTTTCAGACGCCAATGCTACTTCCCCGATGAGCGCTACCTGCACTTCTTCCGAACTTATACGCAACGGAACTGCGAGCTTGAGTGCTCGTCGAACCACACGGCGCTGCGATGCGGCTGCGTGCCTCTGTACATGCCACGTAAGCAAAATCCCATGATTTCTTCGAGTTTTTCAAAAAATTCCCTTTTCCCGCATCCGGTTTACTCTGAAGGGGAAGATGGGAAATGCTCATTACATTTCATTGTTTTCTATCAATTCAAAGATTTAGGGCACTTACGTGTTCCCGATCCCGACACTTAATACAATCATCCACTTTGTGACAACATAATTACCATCTGGTGCTAAGTATGGCGTCACATTGCATGTTTCATAAGTTTTTTTTCTTTTCAGATGGCCCGAACACAAAAGTTTGTGGCGGTGGAAAACGACAATGCATTCTCGATGCCTTAGGTACGTATATTTTGATACAAAGTAGGTACATGAAGGTGCAAAAGCGTACCTATATTACAATGTCTCTTAATGCTCTCGCTAACTGGTCTGACTTTTACTCTTTTTGTTCTCATATCTATCTTGAGTACCTAATTTTAACATCCACAGAGGAGTTGTCCCTTTCCAAGTCATCATTGCGACCGGAGTCGAAGAATCAAGTGCAAGAATGTGACTGCTTGCAAGCGTGCACGGAACTCAAGTATGATGCTGAAGTGTCACAGGCCGTGTATGACCTAACCACCTATAGGCTCAACCCTGACCCGGATATCGCTCAGGGATGGTGAGTGAACTGATTCCGTAGCTTATGTATAAGTGAGTTTAAGACCATATTATTTTGAGCAACATTTTGTATGAGACATGGAACAGGTTTTCCACGATCTCATAGCATTTTGTCAAATGATACAGGACCGATCACTACGGTGAATAATTTAGTTCTTAGAGATTTTGTAAGTGAAGAAATATTCATTAACAGAATCCTCCATTGGGTCGCGAGACTGGGTAAATGGTTTTACCACAAAGATGGGATCAAATATGGGCATACTTCAAAATTTGCCACGGTTAAGCCCACCAATAGTGCCATTTCCATTTTGTCTTTTTGTAAGTAATCGACAGTTTTATGTTGTGTGCAGTAAATACTATAATGTCTTCTCCAATTTTTCCTCGCAGGCGACTTCCCTCAGGCCTGGTGGTATACTTCAGTGATGAAATCTACACCTCTCTACGGCGCTCTGAGTTGTATGGTGGAGTGGACTTCCTCGCCAACTGCGGAGGCATCATGGGACTTTTCATGGGATTCTCTTTCTTGAGCTTGGTGGAGATCATCTATTACTTCTCCATGAGGTTTGTCGTTATGCTCTTTGCTTTGATGCACGGAAACATTAGCGTAAAATAGGCGAACTTTTAAATTACAGATAATTCATTTCCTACTCATTGCTACTCAACTTTAGAATAAAGAAAATATAAGTTGAAAGTTTTTATTATCCCAAACATGTTCAACTCTAGAGTGAATACTTAGTTACAAAGAAAAAAAATATTACGAAGTTTTACCGCCTTTTTACCCATTTAATCAAAGTTAATTGATTTTGATGTTGAATGTTGATGCATAATTATTATTTAAATACTTTCAGACTATTCTGCCATATAAGAAGATCATCTACAGTTGAAGCAGAAACGTGAACATTAAACGTAAATATTTGTAATTTCATAAATAAAATACTCAAATGTATGCTGTGACGCTTTCTTGCCTTAGTAAATCTAAGTTGTTTTACCATGGTTTTACTGAAATAAAGTTGTTTACATTGTCACGTCTCTTTTATTTAACATCCATATACCTATCATAAAGTTTCCGAGAGTGAATAAACTTGATATTTTACACGTTAAGAAAGTGATTTTCAGATTTCTCTACTTAGTTGCACATTCTGATACACACATCTGCTAGTTTTCGCGTGGCGAGCTCATTTGTGACACACACGGTACGACACCGATAACAAACCTGTACGTGCAATACTCGACTGCTAAAAACAAGGAAAAACCAAATAAAATATAGAAACACAAAAAACTGGTTAGTTCAGACAGGACTGTGCTGTGGAACAACAAAATAAGGAATGTAATTTACTAAATCAGTGACAACATTGACTTTAATTTTAAATAAATAATAGGCCTTATCGTAAAACAGGTAATAATTAATTGATGGGTCGATAAAGGCCAATGTAGAGACAATAGGTAGAGCCTAGAGAGTATAGGCTCCCAAAATGTATCGAAACATCTCTAAAATTTCCAATAAAATTCTTTGCTCGGTTCATGCATGTAAAAATACTTAGCAACTGCTAACTAAATGGGTAAACATTGAGCCGAGTGTAGCAGTTTGTTGAAACGAAAACAAAATTATGTACGAAACAGAAACCTGCGTGACTGGTCTGCCAAAGAGGCGGGTGAGGGCAGTGCGCCGCGCCCGCGCAACGTCATTCGTCGCGATGGCGCTACGCTCGCAACTCCTGCGCATCGGTAAAGTTTTCCATTATTTTACAGTTTTCCAAATTACCTTTAGTTTAATTTGCACTTTCTTCTGCTAACCAGTGATAATTTCACGGATTCCCAATCGAATAATGTATTCAAGTTTTAGAACTGTTTGAATCGCTTACTATTTTTTGTTATCTCAACATTTATGCCGGCCCGGCCATATGACCTTCTGTTATGTTAGTGCCTGCTGGACTTTTAAAATCTCGTTTGTGTAAATCTGCCATCGTCTTTATTTAGCCCTTAAAGTGCGAATCAAATGGAAATGTACAATTAATTGTACATAATATCTAAGTAATAAATAAGAAATTAGTAAAAACTAATGAAACTTTTTTTGTTATTAATCTAGTCGACCTTGGTTTTAAAGTCTACCTCTGCTATTCTACGGCTAAGTAATGTAAATGTTTGCATAAATTTTGATAATGTGAACTGTGCTGTGAGATTATTGGCGTAAGGCGTGGTGTAGTAGGAAAGAATTCTATTTTCCGCTTTGTTGGGAGTAACTAATCTCCCTTAGCAATATTCCTGTATTTTCGCATCAAGCAATCCCTCACGCTCATAGTGAGCCACCATGAGCTCAATACGAAAACTTCCATGGAATTACTTCTATTTCTTATACTTTGTTGAATAAACTAACTAGCATAAATCATTATGCAGTTTTCAATGGGACTCAGACCCGTCAGCTCCACGAGCTAAAGAAGAAGGAGCGCGCAGGAGTGGCGAAGCTACGGGAAGTGCTGGACGACCGGCTGCAGGAGATCAAGAAAGCCAAGACCTGGAAGCACGAAAGGATCCTCACATCGCCGCAGCAAACAAAGGTAAGTAATAAAAAGAGAATCTGTAGGATACACACCCAACAACTTTAATCCAATCTACGCTGTCTTTCCCCAACATTAAATCCGGGCCTCATCAAGGCAAGTAAGTACCTTCACAAACTGCATCTCACATAACATCTTGTGTGATTGCAATAAATGCAAGAACAAGCAGGTGTTCTGCATAAAAAACAAAGTTTCAGTCCAATTCATGCAAAGTGTCAGTATGTGCAACAGTGATAAATAGACCCAAAACAAACAGCGTTAGGGAGTAGCCTTGCAGACCCGTCAGGTCCACGATCTGAAGAAGAATGGACAGGAGTGGCAAAGCTACGCCAAATTGCGCTAAAAACAAAGAGCTGAAAATAGAGTCGAAATGTTCGCTGCGATAAACAAAGACGATGTAATAAACTTGTTTCACGCTCCGAAGGATTTCAAGTGATTGGGTGGGATATACATATCCAATGGAATATAAAGTAGAGTTACTTTGAATATGGAATTTTCCTTTCCATCATTTTGCTGAGGCCCTGGTTGTTAAAAATTTACCGTAAATAAGATCATTATTGTTTATTTAAACAACTGAATACGCTTATTTATTTCTCTTCTCATTCATCAAACAATACCATGTGCAAGTTACACACGATTCGCCTGATAAGAACTCAGTGTGCAAACATCATAGTCTTATCTGCCATTTCTACAAATAATAGAATATTACTGAAATGCAATTTTGATGTCATACTATGGTGGTGGCATGGTTTTAGGCAATTTAGGTATAAAGTTAAATAGCAAAAAGAGTAAATCTCTGAATCCTTTATATGCTACCTTGTTAGATAATTATCGAGAAGAACGGAGAGGAGCGGAAAGATTTGAGTTTTGACATCTAGAAGAGCAAACATTGTAACACCATGGATAATGTTGCTAAAATTGTCCTCGCGTGCAGTACTCAATGATGCCCTTCTTGAAATCATTTCCTCGTCACTGCATCAGTCAATGTCAAGTTTAACAATAGCAAACCATAGCAAACTGTAATGTATCAGTAAAGTTACCAAAGTAATTTTACATTGTACTGATGGGAAAAACTTTTTCCTCATTTCTTTTTAGATAATCGATGATTGTTAATGTCCTTAAACTGTTGTTTATAGATCCAATAATTAGTCTAATCTCTATAAATTTCTCCTCAGATTTGATTAAGCGTGAAAATGTGTTGAGCATTGTGTCGTGTCGTTTTCTTCAAGATCGTATCCTTGATGAAAGTCCTAGAGATCTTACAATCTTTCTCGAATGTTCAGCTTTCCATAGCGCGTACAATAATCGAAACTCGCCATTAATTAAAAAGGAATAAAACAGCTTTTTCAATTTAACAGAAATTTTTAAACGTTTCATCAGTAGTTTTGCCGTCAAGGACGTCACCACACGTGGATGTCACGTAGGTAGTTAAATCGTTATTGTATGGACTGTCATCGAACTCAGTATCTATAAGTACCGAGTTTGAAGCGTTCATGAGCAGACATTGCAGTTGAATATTCAAGTTCTGAATTTGATTATTGATGAATAATAAAATAAATTCTTCTAGCTCGATTGATGGTTTCATTTAATTTATTTAAATCAGGTTACCTATAATAATATTTTTTCGTTAATTTATGAAAATATCAAATTAGCCCGTAATCCTGAATCCTGATACATAAAGTAAGCCTATTAATTTAACACAGGTACGACTGTACTCAGTGTTGCACTATCAAATGCAATTGACGCGCCTCTATGCCAGGGTTTTTATGTTCCTGGTCAGGCTATACTTATTTATGACGTGCCGTTTTATTTTTCCGACTACAAGAAAGTTCAACGTTCTTTTGTTTTCAACACCGTCTCCGATATTTTCATAATAACAATTTGTAGCCTCGGCCTCATGATGGAATGAGAGGGAAATGCTAAAAAAATATTACGCACGTAGTGTTTGTTATTCTTCTTTAACTTATTCTTGTTTGCAGGTGACGGTCCAAGGAGCTCAAGGTGAATTCTTGAACTTTTGTGCGAACAACTATTTAGGATTAGCAGTGAGTATTCAGTTTAAAATTTAACTAATTGGTGTTTCCTTGCTGTTCTTAAAAAGAAAACAGTTTTAATGCTCCTTTTCCATGTTTCTAGAATCATCCAGAAGTGGTAGAGGCAGCCAGGGAGAGCTTGAGCAAATATGGCGCTGGACTCAGCTCCGTTAGGTTCATTTGTGGAACACAAACTTTACATAAGGTAAAATATGGCTATGTCTGTTTAAAAATAAAATAGTTTATCAGTATTTAACTACTTACACTATTGTCCCTATTCATCAGAAATCAACATTTGAAAAAGTAATGAAGCTTTCACTGACAAAAACTCTAGCAAAGTATCGTTTTCTAATGCTACATTACATTTGCTCAATAATAACAGCATTTATAGCTAAATCGGAATTAGGAGTAGGTACGTACCTTTAAAGATTCTTCTCCAGTTACACCACAATTCCTCTTCGTTTCTCACCAATTCTTCGACTTCAAATGTTCAAGGAACTGGAGAACCGCTTGGCCCAGTTCCACCAGCGTGAAGATGCGATCTTATACGGATCGTGCTTTGACGCCAACGCCGGGTTATTCGAGTCCATGCTGACACCAGAGGACGCTGTGTTCTCGGATGCCCTCAACCACGCCTCCATCATTGATGGGATCCGGCTCTGCAAGGCTCAGAAGCACCGGTACCCGCATAGAGATCTCAATGGTAAGATTCTGTACAGTTCCACAAGCTCGAAGACGTCATCCTGTATGGGTCGTGCTTCGACGCCAATTCCGGGTTATTCGAGTCCATGCTGACACCAGAGGACGCTGTGTTCTCGGATGCCCTCAACCACGCCTCCATCATTGATGGGATCCGGCTCTGCAAGGCTCAGAAGCACCGGTACCCGCACAGAGATCTCAATGGTAAGGTTCTACTGTCAGTCCCATTGGTGCGAAGATGCTATCATATACGAGTCGTGCTTCCTTCAACGCCAACGCCGGGTTACTTGAGTCCATGTTGACGCCAGAGTATGCTGTGTTCTCGGATGCCCTCAACCACGCCTCCATCATTGATGGGATCCGGCTCTGCAAGGCTCAGAAGTACCGGTACCCGCACAGAGATCTGAATGGTAAGGTTCTACTGTCAGTTCCATCGGTGCTAGAGGTGGGCGCCACGCCGGCGCGCCGCCGCCGCCGCGAATTTTTTCACGCCGCCGCCGCCGACGACCAGCTGTCGGCGCGCCGATACTGATACTGTACAAACTATTGGCAATTTATTCCTCTCCTATACTGTACTAATTTGTGTTTCAAACGCAGAAGAACTATTTTTTTATTGAGTTGAACGGCTATTTCTAGTTCAATAAAGTCCTAGTATAACTGCGACCGGTACCGATCTATTGTGATCGCCGCTATTTTCTTTACAGTTCGCCTCCGAGTCTTGCATCCATTACGAATTGCAGTATCTTTTGTTGTTGGCTTAGGATGTGTTTGCCCAGGTGTAAGTTCCGCTTGCGCATCAAAGGTCCGCAGTCCGTGAGAATGTGTGGTGGCGTTTCATCTGCCTCTTGGCACATCCTGCACGTTCTTGATTCGGACAGTCCCACAGTGGACAAGTGCTTGTTTAAGCTGCAGTGTCCAGTGAAGGCCCGAACTAAGATGCGCATTTTGATCCTTTGGAAATGCCACAAAAGGGTTCTAGACCATATGATGTTCCCTCCGCTCCCGCTCTGGCCAGTTTCACGATTCCCGCGTGACCTGGAACCCATCTCAGCGTTAGGTACTCTGTTAGGGTATTCAGTCGACTCATGCAGTTTTCTACCAACTTTGAGGTGATTAACTCCATTTAAGGCCATCAGCGCGGCCTGACTGTCTGAGTTAATGTAAATTATGTGGTTGGTATAATTTTTTTCGCAGGTTAGCTTCCGCACATTCAATAATGGCGTAGACTTCTGCCTGAAAGATAGAGGCAAATTTGACCAGGCTTTGAGATAGCCTAAGCCTAGACCCATCAGTAAAAACCATATTATAACAAAAGAACTATAATATTTATTCTTTAATGCCATATAAATTGGTACACAAGGCGAACTTAATGCCGTAATTTATTAGTATACAGGATGTTTGGTAAATGGGTATATGAGCCGACACTAGCCCATGTTAACATGGGCATATAAATGGTATGGTGAAGTCAGAAAATTGATATCTTCATTTTAATTATTTTAATTTTCATACAAATCGGATTTTATGAAATTTATTTTGTACTAGCGGCCGCCCGCGACTACGTACGCGTGGATCCCGTTTTACCCCCTTCATCTATCTTACGCGGTTTAGATTTTTTCATACAAATGTTTTTTCCCGCTAACTCCCGTTCCCGTGGGAATTTTGCAATATCCTGTTGTAACTAAGCTTTAAGTTCACTAAGGTACCTGCATGCCAAATTTCAAGCGTCTAACTTAAGCGGTTTAGATTTTTCATACAAAAGGATTTTCCCGCTAATTCCTGTTCCCGTGGGAATTCCTAAGTATACTATAACCTGCCCAGGAGTATGAAGAATAATTGTACCAAGTTTCGTGAAAATCCGTCGAGTAGTTTTTGTTTCTATAAGGAACATACAGACGGACAGACAGACAGACAGACAGACAGACAGACAGACAAAAATTTTACTGATTGCATTTTTGGCATCAGTATCGATCACTAATCACCCCCTGATAGTTATTTTGAAAATATATTTCATGTACAGAATTGACCTCTCTACAGATTTATTATAAGTATAGATGAAAATTTAAAAAAATAAAATGATGATATCAAATTTCTGACTTCACCATACCATTTATATGCCCATGTTAACATGGGCTAGTGTCGGCTCATATACCCATTTACCAAACACCCTGTATAATAAATTTAATGAATAACTTAATACTAACTATATTAACAGTTAATCAAGTACATTATTCAAGTTACTGCTTGGTCTAGTAAATAATTGATCGCGAGAGGCGCCGGTCCCTCTTGCTGTCAAGAAAAAAATCCCCGCCTTCGTCTGGCAGATAACCCACACTATTGGACTATAATTTAAGCGAATCACTCACACAGAGATTGGCAATTATGTCTCGGAATGCAAATGGGAACCACAACCTCTGGAAGGCAACAAAGTACCTCCCTCAAAGTGTTCTCCGCTTATTAGGTCCGGTAATACATGAGTGGCGAGTGCGAACTGACAAGAAAAATCTCAGACTTTTGCTACATGACAAGCCGGTTTATTTAAACCCATTGACACGGATAATCCCTTACTACCCTATACCTTAATAATCTTCCCATTGTGATTTGAGAGGGCTCATTTTGTATCTTTTCGTATGCTACTTCTGGACATTTTTGTACTTGACTATCTGAGGAGTTGACCGCCATGTTTCCATTTGCCTAAGTATGACCCATGTAATATAGTATACCCGACCATAAATTTTGGCAGAAACCATACTAACCATAATCAGTACAATGTTTGGAAAAGAAAGAATCCTGTACGTCTGCTACAGGATTCTTTTGCTGTTTCGCTGCGGCTTCAGCTGGGTTTATCATAAAGGACTACTCTATGAAATTAAAAAGTACCTTCTAGCACACTTCTACTACCTGCTGATGGATTCTTATCTCAGTGACAGACAGTTTTAAATCAAACTCGGTGATAAAATCTTCTCTTTTTAGCTGCAGAGCTGGAGTACCCCAGGACTCTGTACTTGGTCCGATACTCTATAATATCTACTAGTATTGTAGCCCAGACACAGTGCCGNCCCAGACACCAGACAGCTGCGGCATTCCTCAAATGTAACTGTGATCTTAAAGTGACTAGACTGTTGCAAAGTCAGCTGCTTGGCTGACCAAGTGGCGCATGTAATTAAGCCCCGAAGTCTCACCATATTATCATTTAAGACGTGAAACTTATCCTCCGGCCAATCTAGACCTCGACACATTGCTGCAATCAACCTGCATTAAAATCCTGAACCGTAGAAATTAGGATGACATGGAATGGAAAGTCCATAAATATAAATTTAAAACAGAACTGAATGTAATATTCCACCGACAGTCAGCTAATCCTATGTGCCTCCAAAGAGGTAAAAAATACATGTTAAAGGTACTTTTATCGGCACATTGTTACGCTCGCCTTTAGGAAGTACACGAGAACCTGATCTCAGCCAAACCCGCTATCCAAATATCAAAGTACCTATCTATGATCAAGAGAGCTAATTTACTAGGGTAAACCATTGCTCTAGTGGCTCAAACCCAAACTAACTGCAAATCACCTGATTAGTCTTGACGACAGATACTAAAAAAACCGGATTTAAAAAAAATACCTAATAAACAAAGGTCAAACAAGGTCACGCCGCCGACGCCGCCGCCGCCGAGGTCAAAAAGTCGGCGCGCCGCCGCTGGCCAATTTTATATCGGCGCCCACCTCTAATCGGTGCGAAGATGCTATCTTGTATGGGTCGTGCTTCAACACCAACGCCGGGTTATTCGAGCCCATGCTGATCAAAAGACGCTGTGTTCTCGGATGCCCTCAACCACGCCTCCATCATTGACGGGATCCGGCTCTGCAAGGCTCAGAAGTACCGGTACCCGCACAGAGATCTCAATGGTAAGGTTTTAGTGTTAAGTAATTTTATAAAATTACCCTTTCTTCTAATATCCGCTTTGGTGACTAGCTGAACTTCCAACTCATAGCGGCATGTCGCTACGACAATCAAATTATAATTGTAAAATAAAAATAATCCAAAGTAAGAATTAGGCAAAGTGAAAAATGAAAAATGTTGCCAAGTGTAGCGGTTGTTTAATAAAATCAAAAGAATTTTACAGCGTTATTGAAATAATGTTGACATTACACATTTATTATAAAGAGAGCTACTTACCTAGACTCATTCAAACAAGTAACTAATCATTTATCTCCAATAATAGGCATCGATTTAAATGTTAATTCGACCATTATAATAATCGCTACAGGCCCAGCATAATAACATAAAATAATAACTGTGTAATAAAGTATATTATAATAATAAACTGATCTCAGATATTTTTATCATTTACTCGTAGTTGGAATGAGACGCACTTTTAAAATTGGCGTGTGCTCTACCAAAGCGTAACGGCAATTACGCAAATCAAATTGCATTGTAAACTTCTGTCATTATGAATGTAATTTGAAAATTATAAATAACTTGAAAAAATCGAACTGCCTAAGGCGGGAATTGAACCCACGACCTTCCGCTTGCCGGGCGACTGCTCTTCCAACTGAGCTACTTAGACACTGGATGAACCCGTCGAAATTTTCAAGTGTAATACGCTGTTACAGCCAGCGTTTGTTTCATCAATGTTAAGTATACCTACCCTACATCTAACAGAAATATTGTTGCAAATATTTAACTGTCAGTTAAGATGAAACAGCTCTTTTACATAGTTATTAAATAAATATGAATGTAAGCAATTTTTTTGTAATAAGTAATCTACTCGAAGTTTCCGTACTCAAATCAGAAATGAGGACCGTAAGAGAACCAAAGTAACCGACGTAGCCCACAGAATACATAACAGATCGTAGAACTGATGATCCATTAGGACAGAAACGTTCTCAAGTGGCGACCAAAGACCGTACCTAATGGCAGGCTTCCTATTCGCTGGCCTGACGATCTAGTGAGGGTCATGCGTGGAAAGCACCTGGATGCGGGCAGTACTGGACTTTGGAAATCCTTATGAGCTGACTTTGTCCAGCAATGGACGTCTTTGATTGAAATGAATGAAATAACTCTTCAAAATCTTTTGTTCAACAGAACTGGAGCACCTGCTCGCCCACAGCGAGGCTCGCATCAAGCTGATAGTGACAGATGGAGTGTTCTCCATGGACGGAACCGTGGCCCCCATAGAGGGGTTACGCAAGCTGGCCGACAAGTACCGAGCGTTGCTTGCTGTGGATGACAGCCATGCTACTGGCTTCTTTGGGGAAACTGGCCGGTAAGAAACAAGCTTTATGGTGTTAATTAATCAAATAAAGGGAATTTTTGCGGCGAACAATTGCCGTTAGACATCGAACTGCCGATTAGAGAGGAAGATAGTTTAATCCACGTCAACCGCTGGACTGGTTGTGCTGAACCTACTCCTGCAAAAACCGACAATCGGATTCACATTGAGCAAAAAATTGGCCCAAAAATCGCATACAAAACAATAAAGTTGCGTAATAGGCATGTGGCTAGAGAGTGTGAAATGAAACGCCGCGTCTTTATTGGTTTTGTCAGGTGGACGAACGACTAACACAGTTCATAACATGCTTCATATTTGAGTACAGTTCCTTCAGATTACAAAACTAAAGCGTAATTACCTCATACCAGTGGCACAGAAGAGTACTGCGGCCTGATGGGTGCCGCCGACATCATCTGTTCGACTCTCGGCAAAGCCGTGAGCGGTGCCGCGGGAGGCTACACCACCGGCCCCAAGGAACTCGTCACACTGCTGAGGAACGTATCCAGGCCATACCTGTTCTCGAACGCACCGCCTCCGCCCGTCGTGGCTGCTTCTTTGAAGGTGAGTTCACTGCTTCAGACACTTCAAAATGTTTCAGAAATTCTTCTAGTATCCCAATATTTCGTCTTCAAGTATAATAATCTTGTACAAAAAGTTAAGCAGATCTATTCACTTCTAATATCGAAAGCACACTAAGTAATAATGAAAGTGAAAATATAAGTCTGGACAAAGTACCGCCATAAAACATTTTATGTAGGTAGAGTTAACGGGAACATATATCCCCACCATTGCAATCTCTCTCTTTAGACCGGATAATCAGCTTTTTCCCGGTTATTACATTCCTTTATGTTTGCGACATGAAGGTGAAAACTATTTGATAACTAAGTATCTACGTTTTCAGTAAAGCTGTATTACTTGTGTTAAAAACTATTTCATCAATATATTTTTATTCAAACCTAGTTCTAAATGCTCTATTCTTAAGCTCCTTTTCTACATTTCAGTCGCTAGACCTGGTGGAGAACAGCAGCGACCTCAGGCAGCGGTTGCGCGAGAACACCCGGATGTTCCGCGAGGGGCTGCAAGCGGCAGGGCTCACGGTATCTGGGGATGATCACCCCATCTGCCCCGTCATGGTCGGAGACGCGCCTATAGCTGTGGAGCTCGCGTCTGGAATGCTTGGTGAGTTGGATGAATGTTTAATGTCATGTTTAAGATACAAATGGTGCCTTCAAATTAGACGCGTGAGGTAGCGCTAAAGAGGCGCCACTGATAATTATCATAAAATTTCTACGTGGAACGAACGTTGCGTTTGTTACGGTAGTGACGCTGTAGCGCCAAAGCCAATGCGGTAATAGATCGTTTCATCCACGAAGACGCGCCCCACCATTCTTCCGCTAATGTTTGAGTGTTATCGGACACGCTAAATTATCCATGAGAGCACACGCACACTACAATAATGACGCTCGGATTGCTCGGATCAAACTCACCGCACCACGCGCTTCCCTCGACTAAAAATTTGTGGGGCGCGTCTTCGTGGATGAAACGATCTATACCTGCGCTTCCTCGCGCCTCTAATTTGAAGCCCCTGTAAAAATGAGGTATTACACCGACCCAGCCTAAGAGCGCTTGTAGACGTCCGTTTTTTCACCGGACGACGGACCGTCAAAAAACGGATATCCTTTGTTTGCTGTCAATTTTCTCGTCGGACCTATGTCCGATGCATGTGCACACGTTCATTATAAACCATACACCACCGCTAAATCCGGTGAAAAAATCGGGCCGTTGTCCGGTCAAAAAAACGGACGTCTACAAGCGCTCTAAGTCTTATTCTGAAATAACTCTTGAAATGACATGAGTTTTTAACATTTGAAACAGTTTGAAACAAACCATCTCATTATTGAATAAAATTTTGAACTTCAACTGGAAAGAAAACATTTTTCTTAATTTCTATTAGTTTCCCTTTCATTGGGCTAAATACCCTTATGTACCTACCTATAAATGGAACAAAAAAATACTCCACAAAAGTGTATAAAGAAATCTTCTCGACTGTTTTTTTTTAGAATTAAAACAATAAATCAATTCCTCATCGAAAATCCCTTATTTTCTTCCAGAACGCGGTATCTACGTGGTAGCGTTTAGTTTCCCCGTGGTGCCGCGTGGCGGCGCTCGCGTGCGCGTGCAACTCAGCGCTGCGCATACGCCGGCCGACGTACAACGCGCGGTGGCCGCGTTCGCAGAGGTTGGCAAAAGCGTTGGACTCGTCAAGTAGAAAGCTAAGAAGAATCTATGAGAAACCCCGACCGATTATTAAAATATTAGGGCATTTAGACTAGTGAGGTACAAGGCTCGAGGCTTCCGAGTCCTTTTGCCGAGAGCTCAGAGTCGTTTTACAGGGCTCGCCTCGTTTGTATGAAGCTCGACGACTCGGAAGTCTTTTAGAGTTCGAGCCTTTTTCGGGGCTCGCCTCGTTTATGAAGCTTGGAGTCTTTAGCAGAGCTCGAGCCTTTTTGAGAGCTCGAGCCTTTTTGAAAGCCCAGTTAACTTTTGTGTTAAGATCGTCCTATTAAATAAAACTGCAGAAATTTTGATAATACAATAAAATGTTACATATTTGAAAAACGTTTTTCACAAAGGGCACAAATCAAATAATGACTACAAACAATTAGAATTATAGCCTTGCCATTCCGCCTCGAGGCTTCAAAAATAGGACTCGACGCCTCGAGTCTTGTACATCACTAATTTAGACATGTTAGAAACTCTAATGCTTCAACCACACCAACGGGTGCACAGACCGCCATCGCCAGCGCGATCTTAGGCCAATGACAGGTATCGTGAACTATCTAGGCGATAGTAGGCCTAGGATGCGCGCCACGACAAGCGTTTATCACGCCATTTTATCGATTTTACGTGATAAGCCCATACGTTTGTCGTCTAAAATAATCGATAAGATTTTATCACGGCGCACATCCTAGCCCGGCTGCACACGATGTGGTTGAGGCTTAAATAAAGATCTATTCACAACTCGATTAGCATAAGTAGGCATTTATGACCACATGAAACCGACGCAGTAGTAAAAATGTGAGGGTTGCTAGTTGCTACACGCAGGGTGTTAAAATTGAACATCTATGTAGCGATGTAAAATCATTGTCTTAGTAAATTGTCTATGTAAATAATAATTTGATCAACCTGTATATTAATGTGCTTTATGCATATTATGTTTTATATTATTGTAAAGTACATTTACACTATATTTGTATATGTTTAAATAAATATAATAATGATAACAGGGTTTGTTATTTCATCCCAAATAATAATTTGATGTTAGGAATAAATGAAACAAATATATTGTGTAATAATTGATCTATTAACAATAATTTATTACAAGTAATAAAACGCACACTCTTATTGACAACTCCAAACACTCGTGCGCTCACATTTCTCTACAAGTAAAACTATAATATTTACATTGGTATCGTATGTTCTCACTCGCCTCTTATTGCATGTATGACGTAACTTATCTTACTGATCGTTAATGGTTCACAAGGTACATCTATCGACAGCAAATCAAACTATTTTTGTTGGAAAATAAACCTTATTACATCACACATAAGATGTCACGTAGCTTGATGTGCTGTCGCCTGTACATTCGTGGCAACGCCCACGGAATTCACCAACAAACTAAATTATTAAGGCCAAACTATCCGACTCTAGCAGAAAACGACTTGTATCTACGAATGTAAGTTAGAAGTATTTAATACATTTATCTACTTCTCTTAAGTAGTAAACCTAGTTATCAATCACCTCATTGGAGCCTAGGTCTATAAACCTTAAAGATTAGAGATCAGCCACCAAAAAATGGCACTTTTTCACGACGAGCATGAAACTTCACTCAACACACACACCATTGTAAAATTTGCACAAAACATAACTTTTTCTTCTGTCATAATATGTGTCAGAGCCACCATAGCCCTCAGCCCCCCTAGACAAAACGCACTTTTTGATCGAATCGAAAATCGAATCCGTCAAAACTCCATACAAAAAAGGGGCTTTTCGACCACTTTCTCGACTGGTTTGCGATTATAATTTGCACTTTGTCTAGACCCACTGACATGGTTCTACTGAAATGACACATAGTCACTCCTACCCTCAGAAGTACGTTTTTTGTACTCGGATTGATCCACTTTCCTTCCAAAAAATATATGACGAAAAAGGGGATTTTCATTCAAAGGTCCAATATCATCGATGAATAAATTAAACGAACACTTATTTCTAGAAGCCATTGCAATGTCTTGTAAGATCGTTATGGGATCGGTCAACGGCAAAGGAAAGCAAATAACTAATAATAGATTGAGCAAGACTGTAAAACCCCACACTTATTTAAACAAAAATTAAATTTATTATCATTATAATTATTTTATTTAAGGATAGTACACAGCACAATATCAATCTGTATCTAATAACAACTTTTCATGAAACTGTTATTTATTTTATTGTTATCTGTTATGAATAATCGGTTTCTACGTTATAAACGAAATAACCCGATATTTATCTATAGTAGGTACTGTAGTGGAATGATGACATCTCTTGTAAAGACGACTTAATAAAAATAATAATATCAATACTAGTCGTTTCCTGCATACAGAGTTACCTTACGCTATACTGAGTACTTGACTACGAATATGGCTGAATCGCCTCGATTCAAAAATGTGGACTCGTCCCATAAAACTATTAACATTCAACCTTAACAGTTACGCTGGAGGGTATCCTTTGCTTTACCCGGTACGCCTACATCAGGGCTACTCCGAAAACTCTGTTACGTAGTTTTGGGTATATCTGTCACCGTCGCTCTAGCTGTGCGTGAGAAGGATGGCAACATTCGAAATTTCGCATAACGTTTTTCGGAGTAACCCCGCTTATTTGTCTTGTGGACGCAATGTCTTGAGTTTGATACTGAGCAATCTGTCTCTTTTGCTGCGTGGATCTAGTGTTCCCGTGACTGTAAAACGAACGGCTTTGCCGGCGGACCTAAACAAAAATAAAAGGAATATTACCAACGATTTTCGTCAACATCAGATAATTTGCAATTTTGTAAATTAGTATCATTTCAAAAACAAGTAAAAAAGTTGCAACCGACAAATTAATTAATATAACTCATCATCGCAAAAAAGAGAACTAACATATAACTTTTTTATTTGCATGTTCTTTTGACCGGGTTGCACCGACCGTGATCTCAAGCTATTCTAGAATGGAACGATCTCTGTAAGAAGTTATTTCACCTAAATCTAACTCAATATTTTATACATTATCTATTTTTGTCATCATATACTACACGAACAGAGTCACTATTCTTTACAATAGTCCAACTTCCCAAGCCAAGGTTTTATACTCGCGCCATATCACGCGGAAATTCCGTCGCGGAAAATGTGCAATGAAATGCCAATACATTTCAATCAATTACAATTTGCCAAATTGTTTCTGCAAATACGTCATCAGACAATACGCGGAAGGTCGTTGAAGCAACTCTATTGATAGGTCTAGCGGTTAAAACCATAGCATAACTGAGTCAATGCCATGGGCGTAGCCAGACTTGGGCTCAGGGTGGGGCAACAGTCTAAAATAATAAGTAACTATCAAACTATGCCGCGGTCTTACCCCGGCTAATTTTTTCATACAAAAAGGTAAGGCACCCTTTTTTGCGATTGGAAAATGCACTGAATTGCATACTCAACTGAATGGCCAATGGCTTATGTGGGGCTCTCCCTGCCAGAAGGGTAAGTGCCCCACCCTGCCCCACCGTGGCTACGCCTCAATGCCTGAGGGATGGGAATGGGAGTGGATAGGATGGGAGCAGCACGGGAGGTGACACTGACATAATATTTTGACGTGACAGATCATACAAATCTGAAGGAGATTTGACGTCTCGCTGACGTTGGATGTCACAAAAAAACTCCCGGGCCGATCCTATACCTCGAGGTGACTCAGTTAACTTGAGTTAAGCGCCAGATGACCTATAGATATACACTTAGGCCCAGCTAAGGTACTTTCATTTAGTGTCGGCGCAAATGGGCCACTGACCACAGCTGTCGCGCGATACCGAAACATTTCTAAGAGTGTCAGAAACGAGCGACAGCCACCGCTATGTCTGGAAGCCGCCACATTTTATAACCCGCTCGTTGCTAAATATTCGGAATAGGTATTTGGATTAGGTGGATTAGGTAAATCAGTACCTAATCCACATATTTTAATCCAACCCATCTCTAGCGAGGGGGTGGTGCAGTGCGACAGTGGCGGGTGTCCACGTTTTGTGTGGCACGTAGTGACCACTAGTGGCGAGTCGCGGACACTAGTAGCGAGTGGCCGCCACATGCAGTGTTGCCAGAAGGTTACTTTTGTAACCTTTTAGGTTACTTTTGAACTGCTGTGGTTACTTTTAGGTTACACTAATGAAAAGGTTACTTTTAGGTGATTTTTCAGAAATTGTAGAATTAACTTTACAGGTTATTCAGTAAAAAATATTAATAGTGACAATTTAAAAATTATGTCATAAAGTGCATTTAAACTTGAATTTGATTTATTATTTGTTAAAAAAAATGAGTTTTAGCGAATGTTTTTCGATAATAAAACGCAAATCCATGAAACGTTTTTATACGACTGGTCACTTTTCGAATTTAGATGATCAATTGTACCTATTCATTTTCCATACATGAACAACCTTACACAATCATCGCTCCGCAACCCGTATGAAGGTTACTTTTTATTCAAAAAGGTTACTTTTTTATATTTCTAGTAATTTCTGACTAGACCCGACTGGCAACACTGGCCACATGTGCAGCGCGTCTATACAAAATACGTCAAAAAGTGTGTTAAGTCGCCGTCGCTGGCCACCGGTGGCTGTCGGTAGCCCATTTGCGCCGAGCCTTAGTTTTGTCAGGCCCTAACCTAACGTCTGCCATCTCGTGTAGTTTATCTGCAAGTCCTAAGATTACACGTCAGTCCGTCACTCACCAGGGGCCGCTGTGGTGGTGCTGGTAGACGAGGATGTGGTGCTGCTCGTGGTAGACGTGGCTGCAGTGGTAGGAGCTGCTGTGCTTGTGGGCTTCTGGAATTGACAAAGATACATACACAGTTAGTTGTATATTTTCGAAGATGGGATTGATCAATCATGAGCGGTATTTATAAGTCAATTGTGAAGCGATGCTCTCTTTGAATCTACAACTAGATACACTCAAGAACAGAACGACTTTGTGTCACACACAGAAGTGGTTCAAGAGAAACTCTCGACTTCGGAACTCTCGGAATCGTTGGTTAAATGGTTTTATCCACGCAATTCAATAGGGTAGTAGACCAATCGACACTTCTCATGAGCTGTCAAAGTCACGCACCTCCTTTAGATTTTGTATGGAAATGGGGACCATGACGATCGTCGCGTACTTAGTTTACTGAAGTTATTGATTTCAAACCTACTAAAAATCGAAATACCCCCTTTGGATTTATGTTCAGGAGTGAACGTCCTGTGGCTGAAATGATGATGATGATGATGATGAAAAATCGAATTTTTCAAAGAAAACTAGGCAACTCCGTTTATTTTTAGTTCTCGGTGTCAACTACCCAATTTTATGCATGCGCATTCTTGTTCATACAAATTCGAAATCTAACTCAACAAGATAGAGTTTGAAACTCACATTAATCAGCTCTATCCTCGTCTCCAAAGCCTCCACCTTGCCCACAAGGGTGGTGTTTAGACTCGCGACCTGTTCCTTCAGCTCGCCGTCTCTCTTGCCGTTGTCCGTCACATTGGCAATAGTTTCATTGGCCCTGACTTCCAGCGTGTGAAGCATTGTCTTGACCTCGTCGACACCAGAGACAGCTGTCGTCGCTTGCTTACGCGCTTGGTTTAGGGACTCTTCGAAACCACTTATCTGTGAATAAACAAGAGTAAAGATCAGCGGTAAGCTGGTTTAGAAAAAAATTATAAAACAAATGAAGACCAAGAGGATAGTCAGGAACTCTCTTAATCTATCGATTCGCATTCGAAGTCCACCTTTATTCACAAACTGGCTTATTCATATGGTGCGTCCACATTGGGCGAATATGCTCGCGCGGCAATCTCGACATCTTGCTCACTCAAGAGCAGGGTGAGCAGGATGTCGAGTTTGCCGCGCGAGCATATTCGCCCAGTGTGGACGCACCAATAGAGAAATATGCACACACGTAATGAGGTTGGTAACAGTGTTGGCAAAAAGTTAATCTGATTAATGATTAAAAATTAATGATTAAAATCATAATCAAATTTTTTTGATTATGATTAGTTAATCATTAATCAAAAATTTTGATTAAGATTAATTAATCATAATCATTAATCGTTAATTTGATTATTTGATTAACTATCTACTATTTTCATAAGAAAAGGGTTGGGAGTGTATGAAAAGGTACCCGCGACTTATAAAATATCTAGCAAAGGGGGGATCTGAAGTTGTACTGTCGTTTTCCCAAAAAACTGCGTCAATTTTCACTACTCAAAACACTTATCGCACTAGTTTTGTTTCTCACAATTCCTTCTATTCTTCCGGTATCCTCCAGCAAAATTGGGTCAGGATAGAAGTTAAGCGGGCTGGCTGACGATAGGGGTTTTGCGTGTTGGGGAGGTGCAGGAGACTTCGTACCAGAAGTTTCGGGGGGAGGCCCACGCGTGGGCAATTCAATAGAAGGGTGGGGTTGCTAAGCTAGGAGGTTTTGCGTGTTGGGGAGGTGCAGGAGACTTCGTACCAGAAGTTTCAGGGGAGGCTAGGCGTGGGGGGCAGGTGGTGGGAGTGTGGGGTTGCAAGTAAGTGCTGGAACGGTAGGGGAAGTGGACTGATATCCTCCTACGGGAGGTCGGAAGACTGCACCGGAGTTTCAGCGAGGGAAGGGGGCGGGGGGCAGTCTAGGTTACCTTAATATTTATCTAGGTATGACCTGTCATAGAATTGTAGCCTAAAACCAAACATCTAATATTAGAATTCAATGTTTTAACATTGTTTTTGATAGAACATTTAAGAAGTTAAACAAGTTAATCAAATTAATGATTATTGATTAATGATTAACAAATTAATCATGATTATGATTACTTTTTTAATCATGATTATTTTAATCAGGATTAATTTAATCATGATTAAAATTAATCAAATTAATTAATTGATTAAAAAATTAATTGATTAGTGCCAACACTGGTTGGTAATAAAAAATGATTTCACTTTCAGGTGGTTCGATATCTTTTCTTAAAGGTTACTTAAACCCTTGTTTTGTCTCCGCTCTGGAGTCATCCACTTTGCAGTGGAGTGCAGACGAACCTTTACTTCGAACTCCTCCTATGTTCTCCTGATTAATATCGGTCCAATGACTTTCGCCCGGGACTTGATCGCCACTGGTTGGGTTTTTATTGGCGGTCAAGCTGTAGATCCTGGCTACACAGGAGTTACAGCGGTAGAAACGAGAGGTGGGAATAGTCTTATTACAGATATTAATCAAGATATACATGAATAATCACTGACCTGGGACCCGAAGTAAGCGACAGTGCGTTGCAGGTCAGCCAGCCTCCTTGGCGTGTCTGCCAGCATTGGTTCTGCTGCCAACTTCTCTGACACCTTGGACACCTCCTCCGCCGCCTTGTCCACTCTCTTGGTCAGCTCCTGGTACTCGTACTCTAACTTAGTCAACCTTATGCTAAGATCGCTGGCATTGGCCTGCAGCTCTTTTGCCGCCGAGTGGCAGCTCTGTAGCGCGTCACCTACACTGACGCTGCTTGTTGTTACTGCGGACAAAAATGGTACTATTGACTAAAGTGTTATGGTTTCTTTTTCTAATTAAATAGCTCAACCTTATCCATCAATAGGGATGTTTCCTGGGTAAAAAAGCAAGAGTTTTAATTAGTCCGTCAGTTAGTCTATCAAAAACTACTCGACATATTTTTCACTTTTTAAAACTAATGAAAATGTAAAGAGATAAAGGGTGCCAAAGTTCTAAAGAAAATGCCCGTGACGTCAGTGAGTGCGTAAAAGTGCAGCACTTTGTGACGTTGCGCGGAACTTCAACGCACTATAACTTTGTAATTATTTATTTTTTTGATTGACAATTCAAAATATACCTGTCCAATATTTTTTATATTAAAATTGACGGACTGAAATATTTTTTTTAGGAAACTAGCCTATTGCAAAATCAAGGTTACAGTACAAATAAGGTAATTAGGTACCTAATAAATATTTTAGATTTAATTTGTTTATTATAACTCAACCATTAAAAATTAACCACTCGGGTTATTCTCGGTAGATTCGGGTAATCGGGTTATTCCCAAAGGTCCACGACTCTGATACTCGAATGTAAAGTTTAAAATCAAATGTAGACTTTATTACATTTTAGTTTCAGATGTATTCTAGAATGACTACCTACTTATCATAGCTGTTGTCATTTACCTACATAGATAATAATGGAAAATAAACACAGGTTTTCTCCGAAAGCGTTTTTCGTGTTAACTTGTCTTAAATTCACAACAGGTTTTTTAACCACAGTGGCAGGAAGCCAAGACATTCGCCTTGAACTTTGAATACAATGATAAAGACTGACAGAACTTATCACGATTCTAGCAAATGGTTCTGACGACAAACCCATCGAATAACTTTCGATTACAAATTATTTATTTTATCATATCGACTCTATAACAATAAGAAACGTAATTTCACTTACAAGGCGACGTTATGGAGTCTCATTTGAGAACAATGGAAAATCCAGTCACTGCGTAGGTGTAATAATTTATTGTTACGACATCGTATGATTGTCAGTAAGAATAATTTGAACTTTATCGCGGTAGACATAAGTAAAAGCTTATCTTGTAGGTTCCTGTCAGTCCCAGATGGTTCGCAAAACATCCCACGCTACGAAATAGCTTGTCATCCTCAAGTACAAGTATACAGGGTGTTAGGTAAATTGGTATATGAGCCGACACTAGCCCATGTTAACATGGGCATATAAATGGTGAAGTCAGAAAATTGATATCTTCATTTTAATTATTTAAATTTTCATACAAATCGGGTTTTATAAAATTTATTTTGTATGAAAATTAAAAAAATAAAATGATGATATCAAATTTCTGACTTCGCCATACCATTTATATGCCCATGTTAACATGGGCTAGTGTCGGCTCATATACCCATTTACCTAACACCCTGTATAGAATGTCTTGACAAAACTTTGTATTGTTTTGGTATTCCCGTATGCTTACTTATGTTATCACCAATAATAAGCATAACTGGAAATACCAAAACTTGAGTAACTTTATTCAACATTTAATGAAAAATAGGAGTTAATAAACATCTTTTAGATACCTAAACCAGGCCTGTTCATCTCCGCGAGTTTACATCGAAAACAAAACACGCACGATGGCCCACCTACAGGATACTATTCGACAAGGCCTCACATACGAGCGAACATTGACTCACGCACGCGTATTCTTGTGTATGATGGAAGAAAATAAAGAAAATGGTGTACTAAATACTGTGCAGTATTTAACTGCCTAAATAATAATAAAAACACAGAATGTACTTTTTTAGTTGCCTCAAGACACTGAGAGGTAAATAAGTAGTTAATATTATTCATGATAATTCATGCTAAATCATATATTTCCTCCGCCATTTTCCGCAGTTTGGCACCTCACGTCACATCATTTTACCGAAGTCAGCCCTATAGCTTCGGCGCCGTGCCGATCACTGACGTTTGTCAACAAAATGGTGCTTGACTCTTGAGACAGGCTAAATTACACCATATTGTTAATGACATTGAGCATACATTTTTTTAAATACCTTCGCGAAGTAAAACTTCTGTACGTAGTACTTATTACTATTCTGTGCCTAAACTACCACCAACCGGCCATTGTGGAAATCATTGGGGGAGGCCTATGTTCCGCAGTGGACGTTCTATGGCTGAAATGATGATGATGAGATACGTAATCCATTTTTGCTAAAAGGAACTGTTGCCACCTTTTGAGATTACATCAAATTATACAACTACTGTCCCTCGTTATCTGTAACTTAGCAAACGCGAAGCTACGAGTAATTGGCGTGAACAATGAACATAGTAATACTTTCCTAAGAAGAATCGAATATTGCACCAGCTTTATTGGAGCGATATGTAAGTAACGCAAGATCATGCCACTGCCGAATATATTTACGGTATTAATAACCGTCAAGGTTAAAATAATTGACATACATTTCAATTAGAGACAACCTCCAAAGAACTATGAATGTAAACAGTAAAGTATCAAGTATGGCATCTATAAAATGCTTTTAACAAGGATAAACGAAGGACAGACTGCACGCCAAAGTTTAATGCCTCAGCGTGAATGGCATGTAAATAAAATAATTAGCGTAGCTGTCAAAACGAACCTCTGTCCATTTCCATGCGGAGGGACACGATCTGTCTCCGGACATCAACGAAGAGCCAAAGTACTGTTGCGGCTGAGACGACGCATACGCAGAGAGCAAGCCCCGCCGCAAGCCGGACGAAGGGCCTGGTGCGGCGCCGGCGCGTGGTCCTTCTACCCCACGGCTCCCCCTCATCACTGGAGGCAGAGAGCAACCTCCCCCCGCGGGAGACTCCCCCTCCGACCAAAGCGTCAAGCTCCCTCCGTTTCCGCATCTTCTTTCCCACTCGGAGCGGCACTGCCGCGTGCACCGCGCTCTCCATGCCGCACCAGCTCGCTACCGCAATCGCATCCGCGCCGCACTATCCACCACCTTCTCACACACTTTCACTTTACTCCTGCCCTGACTTTTGACACGCGTGCGCACTTCGCAGAGTCCACGACACTAGTGAGCTATGTAAATAAAAAATCACGGTCAACTGCAAGTCTACGTCTTAATTGTAGGTTAATGCCACCAACTTGATACACGACACAAGTGTAGGTGTACATTATATTAATCGCGACTAATGTCTGCCTGTGCTTCTTGGCGATACGTGCGTTTATGGCTTAGTTATTATGGTGATTAAACAAAATACTTATTTCCTGAGTTTGCGTGTCCGATATCGCAAATGGAAACAGCAATTTACGATATCTTCTATCGGGATATCAGTGAGGATGAATAAAACAATTTAGCAACGTGTTTATTATTGTTTTGGTCTAGAAATGTCTACGAAACTGCACAATCATTAACAGAATAATTTAAGGTTCTTTAAGTACTATCATGGGTAACTTAAACACGGTAGAGCAATGATAATTTCCCCTTTTGATCTGAATAACATGGCACAACATGAAGTTGATGGCGTACCTAATTGTTTCAGGCTTGGTTGCACTTTCTTTTATTTTCACAAAATACAGACAGATTCTTCGTCTAACATCGACCAAATTAAAAAGTCATTAAAACTGACGTTTGATAACGTCAACTTGAACTAGACCTTGAAGAGAACAGCAACATTTGGCGTACGTGACAGAATTTTAACGAGTTTAATTAAGACAAATGACGTTATGATTAAATATATTTCATTTGATTATGAATCACCATATTCGGAACTCTAATGCTTTACAGAAAAAGGTTATTTAAGCTCGTCATTCACCTCGTGACTTCTAATAGATAGGAAACGTAAAATGTTAAGTAAGGTCATTTACTGATTGACTTTTGTTTTGTTGCTAAACTTGAAAGCCTTGATCTTGGAACTTGGCACAGTTAGTGTCCGCTAAGTTCTAATTTGGCTCATATCAGTTTAATCCTAGTAAGAAATCTTCACAGAAAGTACTCTTGCTTTCCTTAGCTCTCTTGCAGCTTTTTAGCGAATTATACTTTAAGGCTGAGTTGTACCACCTTATTTTACCCGTGACTTTAACCTGTGTTATTTGTATGGAGTTTGACAGACTTTTGACGTTTGTTAAAGTTAAAGTAAGATGGTGAAACCCAGCCATAGATTCACTTTTTAATGCTCGAAAATTTCAGAAGAATAAACTACAACACTCGATCAGAAGAACAAACTCTACAAACTTAAATACCGGTTGCAGACCAAGAGCTAAGCTAAGTTAGTTTCGTTTAGCTCGCATAGCTGACGCAGTTTCCCATAGTCGTGTGTAGACTGAAAACTATGCCAATTCTATGGGAAACTGTCAGACACAAGTCCTACGTGCTTTTACCTTGTAGAGCACTTTATCCTTATGGATTAAGACATGATTATACTTGGCAATGGTCAATCAGGAAACATGGCTGACCTAGCCGAGCCAGTTGCCAATATGGAAGAGGTCGAGTCCTAACATTTTATCACTCGATGCATTTGCATTTTGCTAGTGTTTTGCATGTAAAGTATTGTTATACAATGTAAATAAGCAAACTTCTTTGTTGCTACGAAACAACAGATGCAATTTCACAGAACAAAGTCGCGTTCAATTTTGTCGTTTTAAATATCGCTCGTGTATGCAACTTTGATATGCTGAAAGAGCGTGGAAGATCGATTTTCCATACGGAACAAGCGAAGTAAGTTAGCAGAATTTAATTTGTTTGAAGACTATTAAAATCACAACCTGGTTGGATAGTTTATAGTTACATTCTGTCAAACAAACAAAAGGTCCTAGGTTCAGTGACAAAGTGGGGCATACAAATTGGAAAATCAAAATGGGATGGTTTGGTTAGTTATAGTCTAAAAACAAATGATTCATTCCTAAAGAGCACAATAAGTCGTGGATTTATTTTAACCAGGTCAGATGCTTAAAAAAGCTCGCGATATCTGCCATTTAGTTAAATTACAAAGTCTTGAAAGTTTGAAAGCCTACACAGCTGCCAAGTTTAAAGTAATTTAAATTCGTCCATGAAAGTTTTATAACAAGTACAATTACAGCTATTGTACAGCCTTGAAATTATTTATTTATAACGCTATAAAATCAATAAGCTTTTTTTATAGGAAGTCCGAGGTGTGTAATCATACGTACCTACTTTACAATTTACATTACATCGAGGAACTTAAAGAAATACAGAGCGAGCGGAAGGTCAACTAGCGTCCGATACTTAATGATTTTCCATAAACTCGACAAGGCCAGAGCCATAATTAAGTACCATTAAATGTGAATATGGGCTATTAAAAAGTAAGGAATGTCTCTTTTCGAATGTTAAAATGTATCAAACATACGAAAAATAAGAAACATTCTTTGGATTATTTCTACAATACGGTTCGAGTATGCGTCAAATTAATTTGCCTATTAAAATAAATAAATTAACCTGAAATGCCATGACTGAAAGAAATAACACAATCCCATTCCCATCCCAAAATAATTACATAGAACAATAACTACGTGGATTTTAGTGAAGTTAGCGGGAATGCGGGATTATAGAAAAAAGGATTGATTATTTTGAATTGTTAATTCTGTGTTAGCGAAAAATTAAAGTTCACTTTAAACAGTTATTAACAAACTGGAGTTTTAACCATGTTACCAGATCTACAACGTACCTACTAAACAAATCGCCGACCTCGTTAGTGATTGGTCAAGCATTATCTCAATATAGGTAGTCTAGAAATTATGTTTTTCATGTTGCGCCTTATGTATTTTGCAGCCATGGGGGACCATAACTAAAACGTCTTTGTCTCTCCCATAAAATAATGTAGAGTAACGCTGATCCAGCGACATGACTCTTACATTAATTATTTATCACTTTTATCGATGTAAAATCCATTAACTATTCAACCCGCCTATATCACCTTTAACAACGCCTTTAACCAACTTAATAGGCACCAAAATAAACCTTATGATCACCAAGAAGCACAAGTCACACAGGGCACAATACCGAAAACTGCTCTACCCGTTTGACGTTACGTCAATGTACCGTAAAGTGTTGTTGTACGATACGACCCCGGTACGTATCGACCTAAGCCTGAATGAAAAGTGCGCATGCGTGCAAGCCAGACAAGTCAGGATATCTAAATAGAGTATTTTTCATCTCATAAAGTGTTTTATACACTCGAGAGCAATGTATTTGCGCACTGACTGGTTGAAAAAACGACTGGCATTTGTTTTAGTTACTGCTGAATAAAAAAGTAGTTTTCTGGGTTTAACATTTTGGTTAGTACCTATTTGTAAAACCCTTTGATTCATCACAAAAATACGAATGTTACGTATTTTATCAGCTCGGCTTTTACATTATTTTATTAAAAACGTACAATAATCAACGTCATAGGTACGTTCAACAACATCCAAGTATTGATAAGGCAGCGAGATTAATGTTTTGATTATCATAATTACACTGAATTTATTAATACAAAGCTGCATAAAAACTCGGGCTGATTTATCCCGCGTAATCTCCTTTATTAATACAGTAAAACGCGACATTTTCTGATCATCACTTGCCATAGAAAACACGAGCGAGGAACACGGATGTCACATGACGTAAAATACACAGTTAAAATTCAAATCACGGAATGGTGTCCAGAAAAGAGAAACCCGAAAACAAGGGTCCCTTAGGGCGGTAAGGACTGAAATAGCTGTAACGTCATCACGTCAAGCAGGCGCGGCGGCGCATGCGTTCTAGAGCCGCGTGAGATACTTTATCTTGGAAGATAAACTGGGGAGATAAGGTTGATTTTAGTTAAGTGGTTATTAATACCCTAAATCGAACACATAGCGAACGCTAAAGGTCAAACCATGTTGGAAGAACGGCGCTGGAATCAAGTGGAATTTCAACTTAGAATTTATTAAAGCAACGTATTATTCCAAAGTAACATAAATACTCCACCAACTCGTAACCAAATTACGTCCACTGCTGGACAAAGAAGGGATCGATGAGGGCACCAGAGCGCGCGGCAGGTCGCCCATGCGCTGGACTGATCAGCAGGTCAAAACTGCACTCAAGTCTCAATGGTTCACTCCACGAGTGCAAAAGGCTGCAGAACGGGAGGAATGGTGACGGATAGTGAGGCTTGCCACCGGACCGGGTGTGACGATCACGACCACTCTGGCAAGAGTGTAGCGACGAAGAATAAGATGCTGGACAAAGGTCTCCCCTAACGATTTCCACAACGAACGGTCGGTCCACCTAGTGGGGGGCCTGCCCACACTACTACTAACATTATACTAGAAAGAGATAAATCCTATACAAATTCTCTTCTTCATTCGCTAATGTGGAGCGCTCTCATTAGCATACCATTAGCAACAGTTTAGACTTTAGCAAAAATACGTTAATTCTCGCTGCAGTATGTGACAACAAGACGAGCGTATGTAATTTCAGTTAGTCACGTCACGCTCCACTCATGAACGCAACCGCAACGGTTTATAGAGCGTAATTGATACTAAATTGAGATGCATCAAGTGATTTAACCGTGCTCCTATTTACTGAAGCAAAGCCATAAAAGGATGAACGGTATTTTGGGAAAATCTTTCTTGTTGATGTAAACGTGATTGAACAATGATTGCTGTTGTTTACTGATTACTGATACAGGAGCATCTTGGAAATTGTCATTTAAGACAGATTTAACGATCGTTTGTATGCTAATATTCTCTCTTAAGTTTAATGATGAGAAATGGGATGGTACGGTTTAAGGACGCATAACTAAATACTTCAAAAATAGTAGAATTATTCCTTAATCTAAGTTAGGTACTAAATTCGTAACGTAATTAATTTTAAGCACTTAATATGCAAGATCTCGTCGAACTGCACAATTTCACAAAACACTCGCCGTTACTCTACGACTTATAAAGTCACAGTAGAGCTTGAGGTGTTTTTTTTTGCATTTGTATACCAATTTCGATGCGAAATCCTATGTATTCCAATACGATTTGAGATAAAGTCGAATGCAAATTGAAATTCGGATGCTTTGAAAATATGCCTCCATCCTTAACGGACATGGAGGCCTGTACGTAGTATATAAAATACGTTGCTATAGCTTACTTCACAAGACTGTCGGTGAGTCATACTTATTGTTAATATTAATAATTGTAATCAACAAAGGACATAACAAGTGACAATAGTTGTTAATTGCTATGAATTATTTAATTGACCGTGAGCACTGGCGCCTATTAACCTTATACGATAGCGGTCACGTACACAAATCGCTTTCATATACAGGTTTTGAGAGCAAACAAACTAGTTTAAAAGGAATCGTTTAAATATCTAGAATTAAGGTGCGAAATCTTAATCTTCACGGATGAAGTCGAACGAGAACAAGATAAGCGATGTTGAAACTTATCTAAAGTAGAACAAGTGCTGTTTTTCAACATAGATGTATAGTCTGATGTAGCGAAGATTATACGTACAGGGCCTCAATTGATAACCAAGAAACCAAGGAGCTAAAGAAAGATCGAGATAGCTTATCATTACTTCAACTTTATCCTATTCTCTAGAAATAGAGACGATAGCGTGGCGCACTGAAACGCCGAGAGTGCAAAGGTTCCAGGTTCGATTCCCAGTTAGGTTTTTAGATGCATTGAATTTTGTCTTGACCCTCTCTCTGTCTTGTAACACAAACGTAATATCGACCATTCCCGTTAGTTCATGGTATATCTGTCAGCTCATCTGTGTTTCCATGACATGGAAATGAATCCTCCCAATTACGTTCGCCGAATTTATCGATCCGACTTCGGTATAAATAGAGTTCCCCAGAAATAAGTAAACATACAGGTATGCAATCTAAGTGGACGATCTGAGGTCAGGTCGTCACGACAATCGGCAAATATCTGGTCTGACGTCAAGACGTGTTGGGTTGGGAGTGGTAGCGTGGGTGTGGTCACAATAAAAACAATAACATAGATAAACTGACTGATATGCCAAATGAACTAATGGGCATGGCCGAAATTACGTTTTGCCCAATAGGAGTCTCAATACAATATTATAATTTAATTGGGTCTAAATAAGAACTGGACCACAAAGAGGAATAATAGCCAATAGTTCATTTCAAATAAGTTCCTATGGCTTAAATAAACTACAGGGCTAAAAAGTTCTAGTCAAAGCTTCCTAGCTTAAAATATTACTTCAGCTACAGAGCTGTAAGTAATATTTTGAAGTACTTTCAAGTCAGGCATAGATTCAGGGCTATGATTGGTTCAGTTTGAATACTTTGATCAATTCACAAAACTAAAATTTCTAAAAATATTACAGGTTTAAAAAATACTAGACTGTTTCATACTTTTCTGATAGGGAAATACTTATGTAACCATTCTACACATTTAGTGTTGCAACAGTAATGTAACAACTAAAACTAATTACAGTTTAACCATTAGTACAAAGCATGAAGTATGCCTTATCAGAAACCAAGGTATGTGACACATACCACAGTAATTACAAATATTTCAACATTTGTATTGCTACAACTGTGATTTAATATGGTGCACTTTTTATGTCACATACTGCATTACATAGATTAAGCCCATGAATGCTTGTGATATACATTAAATCTTCTGTAGCATGAGAAAACAAAAATGTAGTAGCTGGGAAAATGCTGTTTCTCTAAGGAATTTCTATAGAAATGATTTATGTTATTAAAATTTTCTAGCGAATAGTCTCTTCTCAAACTAAATTTTAAAAACACAACTCGAAAAAATCTGCCTTAGGCAGTTTGATTTTTTCAAGTTGTTAATTTAAAATCTATAGTCAGATTTGCTGTTGACTGTACCAACAGATTAATATTCAACACTTACCTTTGGCAACTTCTCTGCTCATAACAGTAACTTGGTCGTAGAGAGCAGCGCATATCCACGTGAGCATGAGCAGCCACAGGATGAGAGTGCCCCGGAGCGCCCATTGTAACGCACATCTTACTTCCGCTCCGATATTTGGTTCGGGAGCTTTTGGGGCTGAGCCTCTATTTCGCTCCTTTCTGAAAATATTAAATTAAGCTTAAAAACATTATCTTTATGCTTTCAGTTTCAAACAATTGTTATCATGAAAAATTTTAAAATTTTGTATAGTATTCTTAAAATGAGGGTGGAATTGAAAGTAATTGAACACAAATAAAGTTTTAAAAATTTCAACATACCTGCTGATTTTCTTTTTACGACTTGGAATAATTTCTAAATGCAAATCTTCGGATTCTTCGTCGCTAGACAAATCCAATAAGCGAAAGTTTTCCTTGTGGTCTTTCAAAGAAAGAGACATTTTGGTTCATACAAAACATGCTACAAGCAACTCACAAACAATCGTACGGATGTACACTTTGACTTATTAATCGCTTTAGTTAACAACACGTTTTTATACGACGTACAAAGATCGAGAGAATGGAAAGCGTTTGGATTGATTGATATGGTATGTTTAAGGTTAGAAAATCTTAAAAGAGACTATTGTTTAGACAAAAGCAGTACTAAAGTACAGTAGTTTCGCCAGTTTTAACAATAACTGAAATAATCATTTATCAATAAAGAGGTATTTTAGTGCAAAATTACACAATCAAAAACACACAATAACTAGACGTCAATGTCAATTAAATTAAGTCACTGTCATGTGGTCATAGTGAAATTCAGTCGGGGGCGTTTGGCCGAAAATAGAATTAGAGATAAGAAAAATGGCGTTCGTTTAGCAGTTTAAAAAAAATTATGGAAAATGGAAAACATCACTTTCGAAGTTAGGAAACATGTTTTTTTTTGCAGTTGCCAGTGTGATCGCCATTTTTGCTTACTATTTCTGACAAATTCTATTTTCGGCCAAACGCCCCCAATGTGTGACCACAAAAATCCTCAGAATCATCATAGTTTCTACTATAAAAGAGTAAAAAACACTTTTAACACTACTAAAGTTAGCAAACGCGCCGAAAACTGCCGTAGCAATCGCCATTTTGTTTATAAGCATTTTTTCCGTCACACGCCCCCATCCGTGCCCCCATTGTCGAAGCAAGCCCAGTGTCAGTGTATGTCCAATGGACTAACGTTACGCGTTGCTACTTCAGTCAGAGGTCATTCGCGCCGGTGTTGAGTCGTGTTTTTGAAAAATTAAAAATGACAAATTGTGCGATTTCCAACTGCAAAAACCATTCTAGGGTAGCCAATAAAGGTATTACCTATCATCGGTAAGTAATTTTGTTGCTCTAATAACTTTAATTTGCATATTTTAAAATTAATACATAAGTCTTTCAAGCTATAGTACCAGATAACCTAACTTTTGTAATGGACCATCACTGAGAGATTTCTTTGTTTTTTTGAGTCGATACCGTACACATTTAACCATATAACTCTATGCATTTAATACATACCGTAGGTCAATACGCAATGTAACATCAAATTAATACAAACGAAAGAAAAAGCCATTTAGGATCAAGGATAAAAAAATGCGTTTTGGACATTTTTCTGTCAAAATCAGAAGATGTTACTAGTGATGTGACGTTGATATTTTAAAATCGATTTGTTACTCACATAGAGTATCTAAGGAAACTAGATGTTTTGTCCTCTGTTAGACATAGGCCTTCTCTCCTAAGTATTTTCAATAGAACCGATCTTATAGCCGCTTTAAATATCGGACCGCATCCTAGTCATCGTCGTTTTTTCATGTGGGTCGGACGTCCTGTGCTGTACCTGTGTGTGAACTGCTTTATCAATTAGGGTTTTGGTCCAAATGCTGCATGATTGGTTATTTTTGACATGACATTGACAGATATGTCAAAATCCATCAATCACGCAGCAGTCAGACCCCACATCCACGTCCCGCCATCTAGCGGATCTTTCATTCGCGAAAACCCTCATTAACTAGCGGCCGCCCGCGACTTCGTACGCGTGGATCACGTTTTACCCCCTTCATCTATCTTACGCGGTTTAGATTTATTCATACATATGTTTTTACCCGCTAACTCCCGTTCCCGTGGGAATTTTGCAATATCCTGTTGTAACTAAGCTTTAAGTTTACTAAGGTACCTGCATGCCGAATTTCAAGCGTCTAACTTAAGCGATTTAGATTTTTCATACAAAAGGATTTTCCCGCTAATTCCCGTTCTCGTGGGAATTTCGGAAATTCCTTTCTTAGTGCACCTCTACGGTACCTAAGCTACGTCCCTTCTAAATTTCAAGTGCCTACGTTTTGCCGTTTAGGCTGTGCGTTGATCTCAGGCGTTGATATGTCACTAAGTCAGTCAGTTTCTCCTTTTATATAGTTATTTAGAGAGATTATTTATTTTGGAATAAATAATACCTACGTTTTCTTTTTAGATTTCCCACAAATCCTATTGTTAAAGAAAAATGGATCAATGCCACGGGTAAAAAGAACTGGTTTCCTTCAAAATATAGTACAATTTGCTCTATACATTTTAAGAATGATGATTTCCTAGTAACCGAAAAGAGCAAAAGATTACATGAAACAGCATATCCGACAGTACATGTGCTGAGTTCGACAACTAATGGAGAAGTATGTGAATAGTGTTCTATGATAATGGCATGGTATTTTTTACTAACATTATTTTTTAAAGTACCTTTTTTAAAGTACAAGTAAATAAGTATAGGTGTACCAGAATCTCATGGCAAATGGGGAAAATAAACTTTGTTGAGTGTAATACTGGGGAAATTGGATTAAAAGATCTTGATACTTTTTAATTTTTTATTTATGACTTTAATATTAATGACCATGAAGTACGAATGCCTACCTATACATTTTAGGTATGTGTATGAAGAATGTTGTTATACATCGGGTTTTTAACATAGAAACATGTCTTGAAAAATAAGTAAACCGTATATTACTGTAAATAATTTTATTATGTATCATACTTATAACTTATCACTTCATTCAGAACTAGAAAACGCTTCTTGTTCTTCAATAGATGATCAAGTTAAAGAGGTATTTATACAGGGTGGAATTTTGTCATGCCACCTGGAGGGAAAGTAGGTACTCTTAATACTGTAGATAGAAAATTTTACTGAAAAATCCTTTATGTTTGAAAAAAAAGACTACTGCATTCATAGATTTTCGAATTTTTTTCGAAAATTCACTACTATACCATACAATTTTCTGTAGCATTATCAAAATAATGTAAGATTTCATGGTTTTCCTTTCATTTGATTTATCAAGTTTGTTAGAGAGATTTCATCCTTATACTTAACCCTAACGATCGATGTAATAAAAATACAGGATGTAATTTTTAACAGATTTCAGTTGGTTCCATACCCGAGTGTGGCAAGCAAATTTTTGGAAATCTTTCTATTTCTTTTCAAAAATAAAGTAATGTTTTCTTTGAGAAAAAATTATATCTACAATATTAAGAGTAGGTACTTTCCCTCCAGCAAAATTCCACCCTGTATAATATAAATCTCTCTTTCAGCATTTCAATTACTCAAACTTGCTTGATGAAATCTTTTTCAATTTTCTTTACATGGTCATAACTTTTTCATTATTCCTCTGGACCAATGTATGAAATACACCTGAAAACCCCGATAAAGCAGCTATTAGGTAAGAGTAATTGTAAAATAAACATAACCCCCACCCTCCTTCTGACGCAGTTAGGTAATAAACTAAATGTATCAAAACATTTCACTCCAACTTACTGTCAACTCAACGACGCGCTTTAAAATCAAAGATTGAGTTTGAATTATGCCCTATTTTACAATACGTATTGAAAACAATATGATTTGCTTGAGCTTTTTCGACTTTTTCACAAAAATAACAAATAGGCATGAAGAGATTACAAAATTTCTGCAGCGGCTGACAGATCTCTTGATTTACTTTGACAGGTGACAATAAAGCCATAGACAATGGCCATATGAAAAACACACTTTTCCAATATTTTTGTTTGCCATGAGATTCTGGTACACCTATATGTCTATATATATAAAAATGAAACCCGTTTTCCGTTGTCACGACATAACATGAAAACGGCTTGACCGATTTGGCTGATTTTTTTTTTGTAGTTTTCTAATACTCTGTACAAGGTTTTTACGGAAAAAAATATAAAAAAAATCTCTACGCTAAGGCGGTACGAAGTTCGCCGGGTCAGCTAGTATGTAAATAAAAGTTGTTGTTTTACCTCTGTAAATAATGTTTGATCGCAGGATATGTAGTAAGAAAGTAATCAAAATAAATGTGATAAATGTAACAGGGTATTGTTATTTATTACAGGAATCAAGAAATGAAATCGTTGAGTTTGTGATATTCAAAGTTAAGGATGGTCTAGTACACCAGACAGAAGATGCTATTCAAGTATGTAAAGTATCTTAAAATAATTTTTAAACTATAGCCTGACCAGGAACATAAAAACCCTGGCATAGAGGCGCATCAATTGCATTTGATAGTGCAACACTGAGTACAGTCGTACCTGTGTTAAATTAATAGGCTAACTTTATGTATCAGGATTCAGGATTACGGGCTAATTTAATATTTTCATAAATTAACGAAAACATATTATTATAGGTAACCTGGTTTAAATAAATTAAATGAAACCATCAATCGAGCTAGTAGGATTTATTTTATTATTCATCAATAATCAAATTCAGAACTTGAATATTCAACTGCAATGTCTGCTCATGAACGCTTCAAACTCGGTACTTCTTTCCCAATTCCATAAAATTCAACACTTAGAAAGTGACAAAAAACTTTAAAATAGGTAGTTGAAACAAACCACAGCTAATTTTCATAGTGGACTGTACTATACGATAAACATGTCAGTCAATTTGACAACCTTTGTTGGAAACATTATTCAATGAAAATATTGTCCGAACCCTTGGTATTTCTCTTCGACAAATACTTTAACACATTGTGAACCACTTTTCTTTCACGACTATAAAAAACACTTGCGGCGGCGGTGGCGGCGGCAGCGGTAGAACTTGTGGCGGCGGCGGCAGCGGCGCGGCGGGCGGCGGCGGCGGTATCGGTTGTAGTTCCGGCGGGACCCTCTCGGCGATGGTGTTCGAGTGGTCCAACCAATTTTCGACCTGCATTTGCCTGTACTGCACTTCTTCTGGATCCTCTTCCATGTCGGAATCCAATTGGGCCAACTCCAATTCCGCTTTGGCAACTTCCAGTTCCTGGCGGGCCACTCTTAATTTGGCCTCTATTTCTGCCCTTCTTCTTGACGAGCGGACGGAGCGCGTGTCCTGATTCACTCGTGACAGTCGCGGCGTTTGTTCATGCACTTGCGGCGTGGGTGGCGCGTACTGTCCTTCAACAGTCGGCACGGTGGTCACCGTAGTCGCGGGAGTCGCGGCGGCGGCAGAGGCGGCGGCAACATTGGCCGCGGTGGGCGTGGAGGCGGCTGCGGCGGCGGCGGCGGCAGCGGCGGCGGCGGCACGTCTCTTCTCTGCTTCCGCGATACGGGCCCTTAGTGCTTCGTGTGGCTTCGTGACGTCGGCGGTTATCTCCTCTGTGTAGGAGCGCGGTGCTGGTTCCCCTCTTCCCAAATGCACGCCGGGCTCTCCCATAACCCGGGTGCTAACAGCCGGCGCGGCGTGGTCCCTGGCGATGCGCGGTGAGGACGCGCCCCCGGCGGGATACGGGGTCAGCGTTGATGAAGTATCCGTGGTTTCCGTCGGAGTACTTCCTCCATGAACCGGCGGCGACGTAATTCTCCCTGCGGCGGCGGCGTTAGCCGCGGCGGCGGCACCTCGTAGCTTCTCCGACCTGGTGACAGGCATCTTCGCTATTCCCGTAATCCGGCTACTCGAAGGACCAGGAAAATGTGGTGATCCGGCTCGAAGGACCAGGAAAATGTGGTGGATTGCAGTGGACTGTATGCGTTTGTGTGTGTTCGAGAGCGCTGACCGGACGATGATGACTGCCGTTGAGAGCTTGCCCTTACTATGTCAGGCGTAGTAGGTGCTACTTGCAGGAATAAAACCACTATTTCACTTGCTGAGACTTCTCGCGTTTATTATTCGCTTCCTTTTCTCAGTTCTTGCTTCTTCAGATCACTTGTTGCTTGGAGCACTTGTTCTCTGAACTGAACAAAACAACACACATTCAAATAAACTTAAACTTGTCTCCCGGAGCGCCTCGCTCCGTATTTATAGGGCCCCGGGCTATATCCATCCCTTTCTCTCCCGATATTCCTGTCTCTGTCTCTCATGTTCTGGAACCATAGTTCTGGAATGTTCGAAGCGAGAGGTCCGATATTGCCGTCCTGTTTCTTTTTCTCTCGAATATTCCAGAAGTTTGTGGAAGAGTAATTGATGTGCAAGCGAGATGACAGATAATGTGAGAAAGAGATGGAATGTTATTTATCTCTAATCGACTCTAATTGATTATTTTACAACATTATAAATAAAATTAGGAAAAAGTATTTGACTGACAGTATAAATTGACGTAGAAAATAATGGCACGCTCGGTTTTCATACTGTCTACTTAAATGGTATGTCCCAAAAGATAAGGAGACATCATCATGTAAAGTGCCCCATAAGGGCTACCTTTTTTTAATTATCTTTGAAGTGCCAAAATACTGGTCAAAATTGTTTTTTTTTTTATTTGATTTGATCTAATTGACATGCAGTATCTATCTTAATTCAAATCGAAGTTGTAGCTGCGTATGTTTTCTGATTTCAGTTAAAATCGCAAAATAACACCGCAACAAGCTCAAAGTTTTCGTCAGACCTATCAGAAGAGAAGCATGGAGAGTTAGAAGCAAGTAGTCCATCTAAATTTAAACTACAAGACGAATCATGCTCAAGTACACCACCATCCCGAGAAAAGAAATTACATCAGATTTTACTGAAGAAAGAAGAAGTTATTAAAACAAAGAATTTAGAAATCAAAAGATTAAGATCACAAAATATGCGGTTACAGAAAAAACTCAATAAATTTAAAGATATTTTAATGAAATATAAAAAGAATTCTCGATTAAAGAAAATGAAATGAAAGCGTAGGCATAAAAATACCTATGCCAAAATGTACTAAGAAAGTCATGCTATTCTAGGGATAAATAGTACTATGTATAATTTTAATTAATAACATCTTAAATTTAAGTATTATAGTAATAAAATAAATGGATAAGCATTGAACGAGAGGAACGTATATAACTCACATTTTTTTAAATAAAGGGTTATATTTTTTACAAGCTTTTATTTTATTTCATCTGTCCGATTTTTGTAATCAAATTGAAAATTATTGATCCACTTATTACCGATTGAGCTGAATTTTATTGCACAATAGGAGTTAAAGTATGAAATTGCCGTTTTTTTCTTCAATATTCATTCGTATATATATAACTTTAAACTTAATTTCAAGATTTTTCAAAAAAAAAATTTTTTTTTTCAATTTTCAACAGAAACATGTCAACATTCAACATTTTTTTGTAGGCAATTTTGTTGAATGTTGCGATGTTTCGTGGTTCCTTAAAATATCACAAACATAAAATAAAATTATCCATAATATACAAACGGCAATTTCATACTTTCACACCTAATAGGTATTTCAAAATATTTTCTTCAGTACCTAATCTTTTTTTACATAATCTTTTCATAACTCCTACTCCTACATCACTTTTGAAAAATATCTCATGATTGTCATTGTCACTTTCAAATGTCTGGTGCTGCATTAGGTGCAGTGGGTCTAGCTAGCAAACAAAGCACACTTTAAAATCGCATACCGGTCGAAAAGCCCTTTTTTGTATGAGTTTTCTCGGATTCGATTTTCGATTCGATCAAAAAGTGCCACTTGTCTAGTGCATATTAAAACGTAAGAACTATCTATTAGGCGTTTCCGTTAACAAAAGACTAGAAACTAAAATATCTATTTTTATTTCATTTCTATTTACCATTTTATTTAGTACTATAATATCAATACATTGCACGATAAAATTATGTTTGTTGGACTGTAAACTTAAAATATTTTTTTCACCCATTTCAACCAAGTTCCTAAAACCTTGGTTCTCGAAATTTAGTTTAAGCGAAGATTAACACCAGTTTAGGGGACTTCAGAGTCTGGCTTATGGCAAGCCTTAAAAAGTTTAATTGTTTCAAGATGGAGGAAGGGTCTCCAAGTCCGGCACTGCTCAGTGTATTTAGCGAAACCAAATTTTTTTAGACTCCTCAATTTGTGATTGCGGCCTGCCTGGAGGAAGGACTTTGAACATAATTATTTTTTTTATTTAGTTTCTAAATAATTCTTTACCCCTTCATAGTTTAAAATACATGTAAATAAAATAACACTTAAAAAAAATTGCACAGATCAAGTCGGCCTCGACGAGTATTGCCAACAACAAGAAAAAAAGAAGAAGAACGCTTTTAGCGCATTACGGACCGCACAGTGGGTCTAGACAAAGTGCAAATTATAATCGCAAACCAGTCGAAAAGTGGTCGAAAAGTCCCTTTTTTGTATAGAGTTCATGAAGCTAAAGATAAAAATGGAGGCCAAACTTGGAACAACAACTTGAGTCAAATACCTACTTATCTCTATCTCGCTCTCTGTGGGTCGACCTCTCTTTTTAGTGTGGACTGTAGTATTGCTATCTCCTTATTGAAATCTGCTAGTAAATTCTTCGAAATAGCCAATTCACTAACCAAATCAGAAGTTAAACAAATAAATAATTAGATATTTGAACTACGATTACCTAGTTAAATTAAAAATCACAAAATTGTTTGCCGTTTAGGCTTACTGTGTTGGCGAATCAGGGAATTACAATCCCAATTCCTGGGAAATCGGTACCAGGTGGCAACATCGGCCCAATCCGGCCCATCATGGCGGTTGTTTACTATTTTGTTTATTATGCAGTTAATTTCGTTTGAGATTTTTTACAGGACAAAATCATTGTTTTATCACAAGAAATGGTGCAAAATATTGTAGTGCGTGGTTGCGGTAGTACGTGGTGTCCTGGAAATGACTTAAGATTCCACGCGTAAGTGTTTATTTCGTGATTTCCGACATTGGATCATTTGTAAACATTTTTCACAGTAATTTCTTCATAAAACGTTTTACCAGTATTTTACACTTAACATTTAATGATACCTATGTCAAGAAATAAAGATTTTACATTGAGTTTTATTGACTTTGAGCAAATTTAAATTTTTTGTTTATTTAGAAAGAGAGAGTCTGCCCACAGAGAGCGAGATAGTGATACAAAGGTTGTGCTTCAAGTAGGTATTCGGAGTGTGGCCTCCATTTTTATCTATAGCTTCATGATAGAGTTTTGACGGATTCGATTTTCGATTCGATCAAAAAATGCGTTTTGTCTAGGGGGGCAGGGTCTCTTCATCTGTGGTCTCTTCTCTATGTCACTATGTCACGATGTCACGACGACGTCTGTCAAATTGTCAGTGTTGTCAAAATTTTAATCGAAAATTCGTGTGCGAGTTTGGTTTGGGCGGCTCACATCAACCAAAAATCCCTTAATTCTGCACATGGGGAAATATATTCTTTTAGTTATTTTGTAACAAGAAATCTACCATGAAAGAAAAATGGAATTATATTTTATATCTTATTTGGTTTGCATATCTTATTCTCTCTGCAGTTTTGATGTTTGGACATGGTTTCTTGCTATCCCGAAAAACCCTGAGTGATGTTACAAAATGTGTGCCACTGACTGAAATTGGCTGCGATGGATGGGAGAAGGGAAATTCTACAGAAGTATGTAAGGAAGAGGACAAAATTCATCGGTTGCTGGCAAATCCCGGGTCAGAAATCGTGTGCGTGCCGACAAAGTTTAGGGTTGTATTAGTTTTAGTAGATGCTTTGCGCTATGATTTTACTGAGTATGATAAAGGCCTGGAGAAGCCGTTACCTTATCAGAATCGGTTGCCTGTGATGAAGGAGAATTTAGATCTTTGGCCGGAGCGCACGCGTCTCTTTCGTTTCATGGCTGACCCGCCAACCACTACGCTTCAGCGAATTAAAGCTCTTGTGACCGGTTCTCTGCCGACATTCGTGGATGCCAGCTCAAATTTTGCTGCAATGGAGTTACAGGAGGACAATTTAATTGATCAGGTATATCTTTGGTTGTCTTTTTCTTGATGCTTGTTTAGTTTCCTCTGGGCAAGGACTAACTATATTATGACACAGCATGGAGTTACAATCTTCTGATGATATAATTATTATTTACTATAGGTAACTAAAGGTGGTGGTAAAGTGGTGTTGCTTGGTGATGACACATGGTCCCGTTTGATGCCTGGTCGTTGGTTGCGGTCACATGCCATGTACTCTTTTCACACCTGGGACTTGGACACTGTGGATAAAGGTAAGAAAAGCAGGTTTTTTTAAAAATAAACTTGTTATTCATAAAAGGTGAAGCAAAAATTTGTGATCTACATATCGTCCATTTGCGACGACAGTGTGACATCTCCTATGTTAATCTAATTGAAGATGTCACACTGTCGTCGCAAATGGGCGATATACACTTTGTTTAGGTCTAAAATTTACTTTACAGAAGTGGACTCAAAAATATACGACGAGCTGAAGAAAGATGATTGGGACCTGCTTGTAGCTCATTACTTGGGTGTGGACCACGCGGGTCACAGGTATGGTCCAAACCACCCCGAGATGACAAGGAAACTGGATGAAACTAATGTGCGGTTGAAGAGAATCATTGACGATCTGCCTCCAGACGTTCTCCTGTATGTGGTGGGAGACCACGGCATGACAGAAACAGGTGTTTATTTGATGATTGGATCATTTATTTCAAAATCATTGTATCATTACAGCTATATTGAGACTTTCCAAATGGAAAGTTGTGGTTATAGATTGTAGAGTGTATGTCAAATCACATCATTAATATTGTATTTGAGATGAGATCTGAGCCTTGTAGCCTTATGATCTGTGCTCTATGATAAGGTTTAATGGAATATCTTTTTATACATTAAATTATTTCTCTATTTATTAATTATTCAATGGATAAGTTGCTATAAGGAATAAGACATATAAATACTATGATTAAAGTAAAAAGTCATTTTCATATTGTTTTAGACTCACATGAAGGAAAAGATTCGGAGGGTAGGTACTTCTAGTGGCTTGAAATAGAAACTTTATGGTTGTGTTTAACAAATCTTTGTACTTTTCAATTGTTCTGTTAAATCATTTGCTAATGTGTGTGATTCTAAAGCATAATATTTATGCTTATTATGATGTTATTATTTGCGAAATCAAACTATTTTGTTTTTATATGCTATAGAGAGAGTTATGATTATTTAAAGCTAGTGTTTTTCCTCGTAGATAATGTGAAAAGCTCAGGATTTTGCATGTGTCTTTCGATTATATCTTTAGCACATAAAAATATGAATTTAATTCTCATTTACCAGGTGATCATGGGGGGGAGAGTAAGGCAGAGCGGACAGCGGCTATGTTCGCTTATAGAGGAAGTGGGTTGAGTGGAGACAGTTCTCCGTCCAATATTGGAGCTGAGGTCCAACAAACGGATTTGGCTCCGACGTTGAGTGCGGCTTTAGGCCGACCTCCTCCGGCGCCGTCTCTAGGCAGCCTGCTACTCCCAGTGTTGCCTACAATGGCTGTATCGCATACATTGCTGCATATTACCAATAACTTGAAACAAGTAAGCACATTTGGTACATCTTGACATAGATTTGTAGTATAATTTAGCCATAAGTTGATAACAATAGCCAATAATGCACTACAGTTGATAATAGAACATTATCACCATTCAATGGTTTATAAAATCCAATAACAATTGCATTTCAAAAAATACTTTTTTAAGAAATGCTTTCGATTTCAGATAAGGCAGTATTTGGTGCGTTATGGCGAAGAATCTCAGCAGATATCTCTGGATAGACTTGCTCAACTTATAAATGCTACCAGAGAACAACTTGATAAGGCGTCAAGCATTGAAACTGAGGAGCAGTTAGCAAATTATGTTGCAGATGTCAGGTGAGATACCAACATTCTGATGAATAATCGTTCTTTACGAATTCTAATCTTAACTTAACGTAACTAGGTATATTTTTGTTTCAGGGCCTTGATTGAGAATGCCCGCGCCGTTTTTAGAGAAGTCTGGGTCGAATTCGACTCTCTGTCCATGTTAAGAGCACTTCTGCTGCTTCTTTTAGCTATATTTTTCAATTGGTTAATAACAGAAGGTCTTCCAATAGATCGTGTGCCTTTAGTGTTCGCTAGTACCTTTGTCCCGACGGGATTCTTAGCGATGGCTGTGTGTGTAGGTGTGTGCTACAGTGCCTATTTCTTCGAGCTACTCGATGATCTCGAACATGCCATAATTTTGAGTACGGGATTGATATCCGGTGCGATTTCGTGCACCCTCGTCATAATGCACTGGGATGGCATAACCCAAAGATGGTATGAGGGTCGTTCGTTGTTTTACGAAAGGTTCGCTAGGGCGGCCTTAGTAGCATCTGCGGCGGTTCTAGTGTCGAACAGTTACATAATCGAAGAAGGAGCCGGCCTATCTTTCTTATCGCTGTCGGTTTTGGCTTTGATTGCGTGGAATGTGGGGACGATTAAGGTCATAGCGCTTTGGGCGTGTTGCGGGGTGGCGTTGGCAGTATCGAGGTCGTATAGGGGATGTAGAGAGGAGCAGGGGGATTGTTGGACAGCAGGGGAGGGTGTGCCGTCAGGGCAGGCGTCGCGAGGAGCGTTAGTTTTGGCGCTGGGTTCGGTGGCCGCCGTCGTGGCAGTGGCGAGACGTCACGTGGGTTGGCGAGGGTACGGCGTGGTGCTATCTGGGTTGTTCGCTTGCGCACACTGGGCGGTCGGCTGGGGTTCCCTGGGCTCTCCGAGTAGATCAAGACTGCTAGCTCGCGGATCATGGCTGGTTATTACGACGATGTTCGCTTTACTCTGGAGAAGGGACGGCCAGGGAGCGGCTCTGCCTCTGACCGTCTGTGGCCTGCTATTCTACGTGGCAAACGCCCTGGTCCTTGGAGCATCGTATGCACCTTCGGCTGCTCTGGCGCTTTTGACTGGATTTTTGGTCTTGACTATTGTTTCAACCGAGAAGAACTCGACGAGTACCAAATTTTGTAAGTATTACTATACCTAACAATAATAATTACATTTACAAAGACGTTATTGAATAAATCCTCTATTTCCAGCATTATCAACGCGGTGTAGTTCTAGCGTGGCATGCGCATGGGCACTTCTAGCGTCATACTTTTTCTACGGGACGGGGCACCATGCAACGCTAGGTCACGTGCGGTGGGCCCCGGCTTTCCACGCGGGGGACCCCAACTACTTGGCCATCGGTCCGCCCATCACTGCCACACTTGTGTCCCTTGATCTCTTTGGTAAGATTCATATTCTTTTTTACTCTTTTCTTTCCCATAGGGTGGCGCAAGAAGACCTTACGCGTGTTGCCCCATACTTCGCGCTGAGACCATCCTAATTACTTGGATTTCATTGCTCCGTGTGTATTTATAACGTAGTTACGTAGCCACTTGCGATAGGCTCCGTTCTCTACTTGGTCATGTTCCTTACCCTAGACTTAGCTATAGCATGAGGACGTCTATCTATCAGCGCGTCATACTTATTTGTGAGGGATGGAAATTCCATCATGGAATCCAATCCAATGTGTAGTTTACCTACGTGACAATTGACTACACACTATGGACTCGCACTCAGCTAATATAATTTTCCAAGGGTTTCATATCATAGTCGCGTCTTAAAAAAATACACAGGCATCATTACCTAATACAACTGTGTCTTTTTATAAAATTAAATAAAATGTCTAATCTTCTTCAAATACACGTGTGTTAATTTTCTCCAAATATCTTGATTGCCGTATTTTTATCAGTCGTGATAAAAATCTACGTGACCTCATTTTGCTTGCCGCGTTGTCGCTAGCGCAGTGCGTCAGACAATTATCATAATTCTTCTGCCTAATAGTCTATCTTTTCGTATTAGTAATACGAGGGCTGCACTAAAAGTATCGGGAATGGAATATTTCCACTGTTCCAGTCATATTAAAATCTATTTAATTGCAAACTCCAGGGTTTTAAAAATCGTATACCATTTATTTATTTAAAAAAAGATTCTCGGTCGTATCACAAGGTCTAGTCAAACTTGTTTAGTCGTTGAGAAAATGGAATTGACTCGAGAAAATTCAAGAGCGATGATTTATTATGACTTTCGGAGTGGTTTAACACAAAAACAGTGTGTTGACCGGATGATTTCTGCATTTGGTAATGAAGCCCCATCCAAAACCACAATTTATCGCTGGTTTCCTGAATTTCAACGTGGACGTGTCAAGCTCAGTGATGATCCCCGTCAAGGTCGTCCAAAAACTGCAGTCACCTAAGAAAACGTTGATGCTGTGCGTAAGCTGATTGAAGAAGATCGACATGTGATATACCGCGAAATTCAGGCAACTTTAGACATTGGCATGAGCCAAATACAAATAATCTTGCATGAACAACTAGGTGTAAAAAAGTTGTTTTCCCGATGGATACCGCATTCGCTCTGCGAAGAGCAAAAAGCGGCTCGCGTTACTTGGTGCGTCAGAACTCTCGGGAGATTACATGCAGGATCCTCAAATGCTGTATACAACATCGTATCAGGTGACGAATCATGGATATACGCGTACGAACCCGAAACAAAAAACCAGTCACGAGTTTGGGTGTTCGAAAATGAATTAAAGCCAACAAAAATTGTTCGTTCACGGAGTGTTGCAAAAAAAATGGTGGCCACGTTTGTCTCCAAAACCGGCCATGTTGCGACTATTCCTCTTGGGGGACAAAGAACGGTTAATGCAGATTAGTATGCTAGCATTTGTTTGCCACAGGTCGTTTCTGAACTCCGTAAAGAGAACTGCAACCGCCGCATCATCCTCCATCACGACAATGCGAGTTCTCACACCGCGCACTGAACAAAAGAGTTTTTAGAGCAAGAAAACATAGAATTATTAGTCCATCCGCCGTACAGCCCTGACCTAAGCCCTAATGATTTCTATACTTTCCCTAAAATAAAGAATAAATTGCGTGGTCAGAGATTTTCATCACCTGAAGAAGCTGTGGAAGCCTACAAAACGGCCATTTTGGAGACCCAAACTTCCGAATGCAATGGTTGCTTCAATGATTGGTTTCGTGTATGGAAAAATGTGTCAAATTTCGCGGAGAATACTTTAAAAAGCAATAAATACATTTTTAAATAGTAATGTTGTTTCACTTCCTTGATTCCCGAAATTTTCAGTGCCGCCCTCGTAGATCGGAATGAGGCGTTCCTGTTGGAAATGTAGGATGACTTGTTTCTTTCTAGCTATTTCTATCCTACCCAGAAAGAAATGGGGTTTATTCGATGGAAATTTTATAGACATTATTTACGATTTCTTTACTGCATTCGATGGAATAAACGGTTACGTTATTACCCGACTGCGCCAGAAGGAGGGTTATGTATTTCTTGTCTAAGACATTTGCCAAATTGAGCAACTGGTATTCCACTACCACATAATAATGGTCCAGCTAACTAAATTCTCACAAAACAATCAGAACATTAGGATGAGTATAAAAAAACCTACAAGAAAAGATATACAACATCACGGACAAAAGTAAAAGGAGCTCAATATAATAATAATCCCAACTAATATTATAAATGCGAAAGTAACTCTGTCTGTCTGTCTGTCTGTCTGTCTGTCTGTCTGTTACGCTTTCCCGCTTAAACCTCGCAACCGATTTTGATGAAATTTGGCATAGAGATAGTTTGAGTCCCGGGAAAGAACATAGGATAGTTTTTATCCCGGTTTTTGAAACAGGGACGCGCGCGATAAAGTTTTTCTGTGACAGACAAAATTCCACGCGGGCGAAGCCGCGGGCGGAAAGCTAGTTGTATACTATAAAACTTTCATAAACATAAGAGTATGGACCAAGTCTGTAGACACAAGTTGCCGGGGATCTATCACGTAAGCTGTTAGCTGGCTATTTGCATTTTTTTCGCTACAGATTTTTTTTCTTGTCGCTAGGCTAGTAGTTATGATAAAGTAGGTAAAAAAATCTTACTAATATTATAAATGCGAAAGTTTGTATGGATGTCTACATGTCTGGATCTTAACATGTTTGTTACTCTTTCACGCAAAAACTACGGAACGGATTTTGATGAACATTTACAGTATTATTGTTTATAACCCAGAATAACATAATTATAAGCTACTAGCTTTCCGCCCGCGGCTTCGCCCGCGTGGAATTTTGTCTGTCACAGAAAAACGTTATCGCGCGCGTCCCTGTTTCAAAAACCGGGATAAAAACTATCCTATGTTCTTTCCCGGGACTCAAACTATCTCTATGCCAAATTTCATCAAAATCGGTTGCGAGGTTTAAGCGGGAAAGCGTAACAGACAGACAGACAGACAGAGTTACTTTCGCATTTATAATATTAGTTGGGATAATTTGTCACAGACAAACTAAATTTCATGCCAGTGAAGCCGCGGGCAAAAGCTAGTAACTGATAAAATGTTCTTATTTACCTTGGTTCCAGGTATGCCGCTGATGTTCGGCGCGGCCGTCCCACTGCTGGCCCTGTGGGGCAAGACGGGCGCCTCCAACGTGGGCCCTCGCACACAGCTCGCAGCGGTCTTCTCGCTGTGCCTCAAGTTCGCGCTCTGCTTTGCGATTAGAGTGAGTATTGTCACTAGACTCGATTCATGATGAAAGGGCTATGCTCGGTGTTTCTTTACGATATCGAATCAGAAATGAGGAGATCCGTGAACGAACTAGTCACTTTTGTCTTACTGATAAAAAAAAAAAAACAATTTTAAATAACTGCATAATTATTTCTCATAACAGGAAATCTTGATTAACAGAACTGAAGCAATTTACTACTATTTCATTATGATACTTTACCATAAGTTTTCACTCATGTTCTGAGGGCCCAGAAGTCGACTGGGTAATGATACCATGTCATCATTTTTTTAACCACAAACACAATGGAGGGAGAATCTCTTGGGCTATATCTTACTTGATAGTAAGATTTTGAGACCGAAGGTGAAAGCTAGCTTCACCCTGTATCCGCATCCAAAAAAAATACTACTTACTATCTAACCTCCAGCTGTTGACTCACAATAGCCGTACTTTTATTGGCTAAGTTAACCTTCCGCACCTTATTTCACGCGCAATAAAGTTCAATTCCAATTCCAGGTGTTCGCGTGCGCTATGTCAGCTACCATCCACTGCCGTCACCTCATGATCTGGGGCGTGTTCACGCCCAAGCTGTTATTCGAGAGCGGCGCCTGCGCAGCGGCCTTAGCCGGCTGCGTGCTCGGCGCAGCACTAGCCACGTGGCACATCCCTACCGCCCACCGCTCCAGCTGACCCAAGCGGCTTGGGTAACTACGTCACTAGTGATAAGGTCCACAATCCGATGCCTGTAGACGCAGCGGGCCGAAACAAGTGACATTCGTGATAGTTTTAATTTTGGAAATGCTTTAGAGAGCGCAGCTAAACACTGGCGGCGTAAGGTGCTATATTTTGCAACAAGAATGCATCGATAGCAGTTGACTGTATAAAAAAAGCCGAAGCGAAGGCGAGTCGACATTACAACTGTCACGTTTGTAACTTTGTCTATGGGGGCAGGTTTTTCATAAAATCTGACTATGGTCTTTACGAATGTGACATTTTAAACCCCGGATTTGGGAAAGTATCTCTAGCAATTTTAAAACTATGGGCGTCTATGGGGCATCGAGATTTGTGAATAAGTTTCACTGTACAGCTAGTAAATCTAGTAAAAAAATTCGATAAAATCTGAAAGTTTTAACATAATACATTATATTTCTGTTTTTATGAGTTGTATTCTAGCTACAGAGCTTAGCTAGTGTTTTTTATTTTGTTAGAAATTAATTTTAGTTCTCTTTCTTAAAACCTTCTGACCTCTTGACTCTATTGTACACTGTAAGTAAACAGTAAGGTCTTATATGCAATAATTATTTCATACGGATTTTAGAACTGCATTAGTATAGTTTTGGGATCAAGTATTAATATTATTATAGGGGTTAAAGTTACAGTTTAAAGTGTCAAAATCCTGTGCCCCGATTGCGCTAATTTTTAACGTCTCCAATTCATTGGCGCTTCGAGGTGCACATTCGGTATCGCGGTAAAGTTCACGCGCAAACAAAGACGAAACAACGGATTTAATCACTTTCCAATAAAAGTCCGAACACCTTATTTTTTAGCTGTCAAAGCGACGATTTTGCAAACAATATTACCTATCTATAAAATTATAATACATTTTACACTAGCATTTATTTTTTAATTTTATTTACGCACATTTTTAGTTAGACCAGTATTTATTAGTAAAGAGATTACTTACTAACTTATTATTATTAGACCAATATACATATTAGATATTATTATTACATGATGCATGCATAATAATATGCGGAAATATAAAATACTGCTGCAAAGAATAAGCATTTTTCAATTTAACTTATTACATAATTCTGTCAAATGTAATAAGATTCTATGTAAAGTAATAAGATTTTATGTAAGGTACTTACTACTTATTACAATTGTTTGAAATGGCAAGTGAGTTTTTTGCGTGGAAACTAATATGCAAGATTTTATACTTTTTTAAGGGGAATGTTATTGAGTGTGATTTGTTGTACTACGCTAGCTATAGTATGTGATAGCTATGGGTTTTTAAAATGCTGAAAATTGGTTGTATAAATTGTGTTGTTCTTGCAATGTTGAACGAATATTGTCCAAAGCATTGATGATAATTATCTTAAGTATTATTGAGCGTATTAACACTGCCATGGGGCTGTTAAATTTTTTATTAGAATTAATCGTTTTATATTAAAATGTTGACTTATACTCAACTTAAATTTTTATAGTGATGTTATTTGCTTTTCTTAAAATTACAGTCTTAGAAAATGTACAATAGGTACTTATTGATGTACAAAGTAGTTTTAATTTATTCAATTACTATACAAAAGACCATTATTTTAATGAATTAATAAATATTTGTAATAAATATTGCTGATGTAGCCACATGCTGTTCTGTATTTACATAAAACTGCCATATACTATAATATACCATAATGAGACGCATATTGTTGTAAGTTTGTATTTTGAAAAGAAAAAGTAAAACACTTAACTAAATTTTTATTTTATTTGGAAAACTGGTATTGTAAATTTGAACTATGTGATTTTTTTAAGACACCAAAGGCTTTTTTTATTGCAATGTTAAAATAATATTGTGAATAATGTATATTTAAAAAAACTTGAATGCAATTTGAAATTTTCTATGATTTAAAATAAAATATTTATTATAGTATTTATTGGGTTTCAATTTAACAAAATATTCCATTTCAGAATTATATTACATTTATTAATACTAAGTAAATAGAATAATATACAAATCCATCCAAAGATATGATACAATATAGACACAAATACATGGATAATGTCGCAACTGGTGATGTATGCAGGCATACGATAATCACAAATTGTATCAAAGCTACAACAAGGCCAGTAATACTTGTGACTCATAGCACCTTCACACTTACCTGGCATGAAATTGGAAAGAGATGAAACCACCACAAACAGAACGAGAATCCATTAGTTCTGTCACGAGTAATCGGATCTAAAGACTTCATGTAGTGGGTGACGGTGGAACGTATGGGTTGATGAGGTATTCGGAGAAGGAGTTTACAGCTGCCGCGCCACGAACCTCTTTGTCCAACAGTGGCAATTTGGTGACATGGAAGTCCTCGTACAAGTCTGCGATTTGCTCCAAGTATTTTTCTTGAACCTTATGGCGAGCTGCACAGAGCTCACAAGGCGCAGAAGACCTCAGTAGTAGCTGGTTAACGATAATATTGTGTGTGTCGATACCGCATCGCGTCAGCTCTTGCACTAAGCGCTCAGTTTCGTACAATGATAGGAACTCGGCGATGCAAACACAAACAAATGTTGTTTGATTGGGATCTTTGAACTGGGTGTTCACTTGTCTGATAATTGAGAGCATTTCATCCATTTTGTTGCTGAACATGTCAGAGTTGAACTCTGCAAGTCCAAACAGTGCTGCGACTTGATTGATGAATGGTGCAACCTGAAGAAATAATAACAAAACATGAGAACTTTTCAATAGTGATAGAGGACCAGCATAGTCAGTTATTATTTATTTGAAATATTTAAGTTACTTTAGATTTGTTTACCTTAGATTTCAAGCGCATCAATTTGCCCAACCCTCGCTCCACGACCTGCGGGAAGGAGAGTAGACGCAGTGTGTGGCCAGTCGGAGCAGTATCGAATACAACTGCGCTGAAGTTCATGCCTTTGACCAGCTTCATTACCTAAAATTAAAAATATTTATGTAAAAATAGCTGTTTCCATTGAATTTGTTTTCCTGTTATTTATGCACAATACTATTCTTTGAAAATATTATTAAACTGAGTTGCACCACTTAACTTTGACTATATCTTTGGTTGAGTTGGACAGATTTTTGACGTTTGTCAAAGTAAAGTAAGATGGTGCAACCCAGCCTAACTAACTGTAGCACTAATTTATGATATATTCTTAACTGTTAGTATAGTAGTCATATTACCTCGGCATAGCTCATAGCTTCATCAATTCCAGGAAAGGCTCCCACAATTTCTTGCATCACTCCTTTGCCAAGCCTCATGGCCTCTGTTTCCCCCTCAAAGTACTCTTCAGGCAGCTCAGTGAGCCCCACATTGGGGTCTATTTCCATAGCAAAGAGGTTATCAAACCCCTTAACTTTTGTTGGCACCTACAATAAAATTAATAAGTTTAAAATTAATAAGTTTACACAATATAAAATAACAGTATATATTGGAAGAGAAAGTTTCAGTATCACATCATTACCTTAGAAAATTTCTGGTCGAATGCATCTGAGATGTTGTGAGCAGGATCTGTTGATATAATAAGCACAGATTCGCGGACCTTGGACAATTGAACGGCGAGGCTGCAACTGTAATACAAAATTAAGTTTGTAATTTATGTAAGACAGTAAATATTAGTCATAGATGTGAAAATAGGGCTCTAACTTACCTGCATGTAGTTTTTCCAACTCCACCTTTTCCACCAACGAAGATCCAACGCAAAGACTTTTGTTCGATGACGTTTTTGAGCGAAGGCTCTAAGGGCTCAAAATTGTTTTCATCCATTATTATCAGCTAACAGATCAATTCTAATAGGAAAAGTATGAAAATATCCAAAAATTAACAATCACCCACCATCAGCTTTTGACAGAAGTGACGTGACAATACACGCACGACGAGAAAATTGAGCGAGCAAATGACAGAGTATGCCTTCAGAAAACTAAAAATTGTACTAATAGGCTGTATATTATCAACGACTTTGCACAAAAAAATAGATGTTTGACAGCTGATATTGACAGCTTTGTCATTTGTGATTTGACAGTTTTCTCTATTTTCCATGGATTTTCCGCGAATGGGTTTTCATCATATTCCTCCAGTAATAAATTTCAGGCCATTTCAGATGTGGGACTTGTAATGAGTGAAATGTATAATTTTATGAATGAAAATAATGTTCTATCGTCTGTTCCGTGGTCGTTTAACATTCAAACTTTACGTGCTATTAGCAATTATTATAATTGTTTCCATAAGCGGATATCTATTCCCACAGTTTAAATATTTTAATCCTATAGCTCCAGTGACTGTTGCTCCCAATGCCTTGCATACGCGGACATCACGACACTTGTCCAAATTATTGACTGTTGTGTTCCGGCAGTTTGATGATTTTGAGAACGATGTCGCGGACAGCGTGCAGTCTTTCGTCACCGCATTCCCAAACATGCCCGTGGTGGTCGTCTCCGACAGTACACCGTACCCACCGTTCCCGTTTTCAGCTACGAACGACACGTTACGAAACGTTAAAGTGGTTTCTCTAGAACTGAAACTAGATTCATCACCGCGCGATTTGAATCCTCTCACTCACATCCTTACTGAGTATGTGTTATTTGTACCTGATTCTGTCCGTGTCTTACGCCGGGCGCTGCAACAGGCAGCCGTTGTTGCGACGGCATTCCCAGCGAACGCTATAGCTTTAGGAGTGGCTAATACCCACCTAATTTGCCAGCAAATAAAGTGGAACTATGCAGACTGGACGCTTCAGTATAACAAGGATGCATCTGGAAAGCTCTGTGATGCTGTGCATGGCCCACATGCGCTGTTAATCAGGACTGCACTGTTGCAAACATTACCTCAACCGTTTGCATTGCCTTTTCCGGAGTCTTTATATTTGCAAACTAGTGTAAAGAAAGTTAAAGTAAGTCTCATAAATTGTGTTTTTTATTCTCATTGGATGTTCATATAAAATAATTAATTCTATATACAGTCGTGGTCAACTAATTAGGGACGTTATATGACTAAAACACAAGACCGTCTCTCCAGTCCCAAAAAAAAATCTTCACGAGGCTTTGTAGCTTGTGATTATTAATAACAAGTAATTTGGCTAGTATTCTAAATATTTAAAGGCCAGAAAAGAAACTAGCTAGTTGCGATCAATATTTTTAAAATAAATAAATCATTGCCACCTACACATTTATTGACATAGGGATGGACAACTAATTAGGGACACGTAACACTTTCACTGTAAATGTAAATAAATTGAAAATTATTTAAGTATTTATTACATAAAAAGTTTTCATTAATAAATATAGAATACAAAACAAAATCATCAAACGTATTTTTATAACCAATATGGTTGGTTTTGTTGGTTATAACCATTTGACATCGGCGCGGCATGGATGCAATCAAATCATTACAGGTTTCTAAAGAAATATTATTCCAAATACCATTAAATGCCACGAAATGCTGATTTTTAGTGCCAGTACGTTGAGCTGCAACTTTTTCCTTCGTTTCATACCATAAGCTCTATAGGGCTTAAGTCTGAGTTGTTTTCGGGCCAATCTAGTACCGTCACTGACTGTTGCGCTAGGAATTATTAAACAGAGTACGCGGTATGTTTTGGGTCGTTATCGTGTTGAAATGTTCATGAGACTGGTAAGACTTCTTCAGCATACGATAGCATCGTTTTCTCCAATATTTATTTGTATTGGAATTGCTCAAGTTTAACTTCAGTTCTTTTTATAGGTTACACTCTATGTCCAGAAAAACAGTCCCAGATTTTTATTTTGCCGCCTGTATGTTTCACCTGCTTCTTCGTTTACTTTGGTATCATTTCGGACTTTACAGGTCGTCGCACGTATTGTCTGTCATCGGATGAAATAAGATTTATCTTGATTTCATCAGAAAACAGCACATTTATCCATTGAGCAAAAGCCTAATGTCCATACTTTCTTGCAAACGCCAATCTTGCTTCTTTGTGTTCCATCTTCAGTAGTGGAACTTTTCGAGGAACTCTTCCTACAAGCTTTGCCTCCACCAGTCGCCTTCCGACGGTCCTCGCAGATACTCCAGCAGTCGGTTCTGGTCCAAAAATCTCGCTCTTGATCAGAACGAAACCCTTAAAGGGGTCTCTCTTTGCGAGAGTGACCATTCTGCGATCCATCTTGTGGGGTTGTTTTTATTGGCCTCTTCCTTCTAGGCATACTTTCTGTGGTTTCATGATTTTGAAATAAGCCACTGCATCGTAGATTCATGTTTTTGGAACATTTCAGATGATCTGCAATTTACCGGTATGGCCATCCACACTGATAAAGATTGATTATAACTTAGCGCATTGTTGCTTTTCTTTCAGCCCATTACCTTTAATAATTTGATGAGTTTTTAACTCGCAAGATAAGAATATCGCTTTTCAAATTGACGCCGAAATTACAAATGAACAGAATAAAAGTTATTACTTTTTATTTTTTTAATTTAGAAGGAAAAACTTAACCGTCCCTAATTAGGTGGCCAGACCGTCCGTACCATAATTACCGATTCATGTGATTTGATTAAGATTTTTTATTAAGTTAGTAAGTTTTTTTGTTGTTATTGTGTACTGTTAAATAGAGTTCTTGATAGTGAATATGTTTACAAAGTAACAGCCAGTAATATTGAATGAAGCTCACAATAATAGGATATGAACACTTAGTATTGCTTAGTATTCTATCTGTCCCTAATTAGTTGACCACGACTGTATCTGTTATAGGTACAAATTGCAGATGGCAAACTAGGAGCAGGGCGTAGTGTTCTGAAATCTCCTGGAGCACGCCAGAGAGTGTCTCGTCGCATGAGGGATTACCGAGTAGCTCTCTATAAACAGCTGGGTGTGAAAGCTGTTGTGAGGGAAGACGGGAGAGTGCAATGGTTTGGTTGTAAAAGGGAGGGCCAGGTAACTAAATACATGACAACTAGCAAACCAAATCATTGAATAATTGTAATAGTATTTAACTAAATAAACCACAACTGTGGTAGCCAGTTTCTTTTAATTAAATCAAAAATAAATTCAATTTTGACCAATTTTTCCCAATTTTTGGGACTTAATCTTATTGCAGCATGTTTTTTTGCCTCTTATTATTTTGACAGTAACATAGTAAAATTGGTCTTTCAGCGATGCTACCCATCAGTTCAAGGCACGCCATCGTACATTCTGTCAGGGCGCAACACGCCGCCATGTTGTCGCAGGAATATGCGACGCACAGCAGGGCATGTGTTGCGAGCGTTATTACAAGCTGGCGCGCGCTGCTGGCTAGAAACTACGTCGCTACTCGGCGCTGTCGTTCAGTAAGTAGCTAATTTCAATTTAGCATGGTATTTCAAGCAATCAGAACTTTTTCCAGGTGATGTTTATCCTTCTGCTTATTTCCTCTTCGTTGCTATCTTCGCACAAAGAGATCCTGAAAGGCAACTATAGCTTGCACCTGAAAAGAACCGTAGTCGAAACCTGCCTACTACCATGCTTATTATACGGGAGCCGTGTACCATACCAAAAATAGAGCAAAAATAGAATCATGTCAACATGCGATGGAGAGGAGCATTCTGAAAATAAGAAAAATTCAAAAAATCAGAAACAACAAAATTAGACAACAAACAAAACTAACAGATGCCCTCCAAAAAGCTTTAAAACTAAAATGGCAGTGGGCTGGACACCTAGCAAGGTACAAAGATAGAAGATGGACTATAACATCAACAGAATGGAAGGGACCGAAGGGGAAGAGGAATGTTGGGAGACCCAAAGAAAGGTGGGCTGATGATATAATGAGAGTAGCGGGAGAAAATTGGCTCGACCTAGCCCAGGACAGGAAGAAATGGAGCGGAATGGAGGAGGCTTTTGCCCATACAGGGGTGCCACAAGAGTGAAGACAAATGCTTCTAACTTAATTTATAAAATTGTAAACTTGTGGAAATAAAAGCTTTTTATTATTTTATTAATTTATTTATTTATTTATTATTTCAAGCAATATTGTCCCAGGACATTTCTTTAAGGTAAGGTGCTCGAAATTCAAATCAGTCTTAATCATAGGTACCTATTATAAAATTGTATGAGAACCCCGCAGTGTGGCGCGGATGCGCGTGTCGACCGCGCCACACTGCTTGCATTTAATAGGCGGGCGAACGCGGCGGTTGCCCGCCCTAGAGTGCAGACTCACGTCGGATAACCGGAGCGAGGGCTTGCTTCGTCCACTCGCGCAAGTTTTAGCATAGGCTCTAAGATGCCAATGCCCCAGTGTTTAGTGTGATCTGCATTAATATTTTTTTTATAACAGGGGCGACCTGTTACCATGGGCGGAGTACGCCGAAATCGGCATCCATGCGTCCGACGTATCCCGCGTGGCTTGGCTACAAAGAGGCGGTGCCGACGCCGACGGTTTCGTTTGGGAGCGCGCCACCAAAGGCCACTACTACCGAGTGGCGTTCTCCGCTACCAACAGCGTGTATGTACTGGTGCTGCCCTTCACGGCGAGAAACGGAACTATGTGGCCGGCGGACTGGGTGCTGGCGCATCAGAAGGAGTTCTCGGAACGGCATTTACACCCTCTTGCACAGGTAAAGGGATAGTGATTTTATTTCTTACATAATTTTACAGGAGATAAACTATCCAGACATGAATCTGTGTGTGGCATTGAACAGAATAGTAAAATGTTTTTGGTTTGATAAGTTGCAGCAGCAGATACTGTCCCTTACTTTACTTTCTGACAGCTTACATGAAGAACTCAGCAGCATTATAATTGCCAGTATTTTAATCCTAGTAATAATAGTTCGAAATAGAAAGTATTTATTTGTTTAATTTAAAAACAGGTTAAAATTACAATTTATCACAGTGTACAATAGTGGTATGAGACAAAAAGGTCTATGACTCGGTGATTGCAGGAGATCCACAAACCCTGTTATTCTGCCATAGCCAAGTGTTAGAACTGGTTTAGTTCCTAGAAATAAGAGGTCTCACATGAGGTCTACACTACAAATTGTAGAAGTAGCATGTCTGCTGACTCAGGATTAGTATCTATAGGCTAATTAAAATTTATCTTCCAGATATCATTCGCCGGCCGTCAAGCCCCGGCGCCGAATGACGCACGCGCATTCCTCGACGCCAAACTCGGTGCGGGCTCAGTGGAGCGATGCAACAAAATAGGCCCGAAGTTGCTCTACCCATAGTATTGCTACAGCACACAATAGACGTAAGAGAAAATGTAAGAGACTACTTTAGTAAAGCACAACACACACTCTTTTAAAATAGTCAAGTTTAAGTAATGCGACAAATTTTATTTAGGGTTCTCTACAATATTGTGGACCAGCTACAAGTATTTAAATGTTGATTGGAAATTAACAATAGCGGTACTTCGCCCTAATGTTGTTTAATTTAGTTGGCTTTGGCACGATCTGTAGCTGGAATACAAAGTAAATTACAACCATCTGTTATATAGATGACCCACGCTGAACTGTCCCGCCAAACTCAATGACAGGGGGGCGCTACCATCGTTCAACTATATGGTTTCCAACATGGCAAAAATCTGAACCAGCGATCCGGTATTGACGGTGGCGCCCCACTGTCAATGTCATCGACAGGACAGTCCAGTATTTTGGAACTATAGTAGGGGAGTTGACACCAATAAATACATTTTATTTTGTCGGCCGTTTTGGTGTAGTGGTTCAGAGCGGACTACTATGCCGAGAGGTCCCGGGTTCGATTCCCGGCCGGGCAGAAATTGAAATGATGAATTTTAATTTCTGTGACGGGTCTGAGTGTTACTATGTATAATATGTACCTATGTATTTAAAAAAAAAAGTATATAAGTAGTATATCCGTTAAGCTAGCACCCATAACACAAGCATTAAGTTGCTTACTTTGGGGCTAGCTGGCGCTGTGTGAAATTGTCCAAAGATTTATTATTTATTATTATTATTATTTTGATATGAACTGTGGAAACGTGATTTCGCTATAGATTTTGTATAGCAACAGGAATCTATGTTGTCTTGTCATGTAAACTTTTCCACCGAACTAAAAATAATATTCCATAAAATTACTTTTAGTGTCATCCTACTGGTACAGGTGATCAAATATTTAAAAAGCAATAAATTATCTTTTAAGCTTTGCAAACACTACCATTTTTAGTGACGTGAATGAATCTTAATTTAGTTTGTAACTTGTATCAAACACTTTCATCAATTTAATAAAAAACACCAATATAGGTACTTATTACGGTTAGGTAAGGATTAATTATATTCAAATCAGCCTTCTAGTGCTAATTTATTCTTGATTTTCGATAGAAAAACTATTATTAGGTAATAAGTATAGTATTTTTAACTAAATGATGTCAAGTATAGAAGTGAGCCCATGTGTCTTGAAATGATTTTTTGCTGTAGAAATCATGAGTAAGTAGATACTTTATTATATTTTTAAAAGTCGTTACAAAATCAGCAGAAAATATATTTTTAGGCCTTTTTGTTTAATATTAAAATTATGAGAAACGAGACATTTCTAAGTATATTTTCACCTCAATATTGCATTTATTATAAAAGGAAGTATTTTTTGTAGGTACTGAATTTTTCTCTTTTAAAATTATCACTTCACGGGATTTTAGTTATATTTTTTATAGAAATTTCTAAATTATTACACTCCACTAAAGTGCGACTTACGTATCTTATTACTTTAATAACTTAGCGTAGCGTATTTGTATGGAATAGATTACAAAAAAAAAACTAGTCAATAAATAAATAGTGTTTTTGAAGATCTCAAGGAATTCTAGTCATAAATCCAGAGACCATTTGTGAAATGGTTTGTTCTGTTTGAAGAGTTTATGGAAATGTTTTCAGCAAAATTTTGTAAAAATCTTTAGAATGTTGTAATAAATTCTCTTTATAGAATATTTTAATAGTGTTTAGCGATACATTTATTATGGTTTTTGAAGCTTAAAAAATACACTCAATATTAAATAAAATGTGTTTTATTTTAATTATATTGTAAGCAGTATAATAAATAAATTCAAATAAATTAATCGTCGTCAAATTTCTCGTCGACTACGCCCGGAGTGAACGGAGGGTCCCGAACTAGACTGAGAAGTTTGTCGAGTTTCATGATCTGAAAAAATTGATATTATTTTATTTTACAAGAATTCAATACCTAGCGAATTCCATATTTTAACAAAAATAATTTGGTTTTCGATAGTTGTGTTATGTCGGTAGTAAGTTTATTGATATGAAAATCTGAAAAAAAAAAGGATTTTTTTATGTTAGTAAAAAATATACTGTAAAAAAAACTTCGTGTTTTACCTGAAGTGTTCTTTGGTCAACTCCTTGGGCTTTCTTTGGTGGTTTGCACATGACTCGTAGATTAGGCGACAGTTTCAATACGTGACATGTACCCCTGAAAAAGTTAAATACGTTATCAATACCTAAATTATCAAAATATAGTCAATTACGTAAATATGTACTATAATAAAAACTAAAAAAGAAAATCACGTATGCCCCCAGAGAGAATTGAACTCTCGACCCCTGGTTTACAAGACCAGTGCTCTAACCCCTGAGCTATGGAGGCGATGCGAGGGTGGGCGAAATAGTGAGACGCTTACCACGGCCGTTACGTCATAGCGTTTAAAATGAAATCACAATGAAATAATAAGATAATAAAATATAATAATGTATGTTTGTTTTGATGACATATTTCATAATTTATTTCCAATATCGTATTGTATGAACAATGTGGAGTAAAGTAGAATCATAAAATGAAGTTTTCCTTATAAGTCATTGCGTTCTGTATGCTTCACTGTGCGTTTTTCTATGCACAATAAGGCAGGTATTTGACCGCAATCGCACCTGGTGTTCAGTGAGATGCAGTCTAGGATGGTACATAATATTATCTGCCCTGTAAGTGCCTATTCACTCTCGCCTTGAAAAGGTCCGGATTTAGTGTTTGGGAAAGAGAGCAGGCAGCGAATTCCAGTCCCTAGCTGTTCGCATTATAAAAGAGACTTTACTTACTAATTCTAGCTAATGATTGTGACTTACTTAGTATCTCCGCACACTATGACGGGCAGTCGTGCGTTGAAGTCTATCCTGGTGAGTTTCTTAGTCTTCTTCGAGACTACCGCTTGCGAGCATATCGGCCGATACTTGTTCACGTTCAAATCGTATACGTACACCTGCGATGAGATTAATATTTGTCGAATGAATATCATTTAATTTTGTATAAGATTGTGGTATACCTACCTATATTTACTACGATAAAATCTATGGTAAGGCAGATATCTACTTTTTATTGTGATTAGTGAAGTAGGACCTACAATAAGTAGAGGTTAAATTAACACAAAACCGAAAGTTTCAGAATCAAGAGTAGAATCGATCAACGACATTAAAAAAAACATAATCCTCCTTCTGACGCAGTCGGGTAATGAAGGTTTAATGAACCAAAAATAAATAAAATAAAGAAACTAACAAAGTTAAAACCTAATTTTTGTGCTTACTGTGTTCAATAAATTCTATTTCTTTCTTTCTAATTAAGTTAATGGTGCATGTTCCAGATAGCAATGTGCGTTAACGTCGTGTTCGTTGATAAAATTCATGAATCGTAATGTATTGAAATATTGAATTAGATGATAATAGACACGAAATAAGATGAAATATTTGTGTACCTACATCATGAAAATAAACACTCTTAAGCTCTACCATATTAAGAAAGTCATTATAGCCNTTACAATTGAAATTAAGTTCTTAGTGAAAATTCAATTTAGTTGTGTTCGCTAATTTATAATTCAGACTGAGTAGGTATACTTAAAACTTTATTTTTAATCTAAAATACATACAAGACTCTATCAAAGTTCTTACCTTCCCATCAGCAGTGCAAGCTGCGAACACGGTGCTAGAATATGGCGCCCACTTAACATCGCCCACCGGTGAGCCCAGCTCGAACATAAACAGCGGCTCACTGCAAGATAAACAAACTTAACTTTAATAACAATCGTAATAAAGCTTGAAATCCTTTATCTCTGCTAATGTTAGCGTCGGTTTCCTTCGTATAGTGGTGATTTGAGTTAACTTCAATACTTTCATGCAAGAAAGAAAGAAAGAAAGAAAGAAAAAATATTTATTTGCTACTAAATGATACACATTGACATTACAAAGTAAAAATAATAAAATTGTTATACCAAATTGGTCTCTGCTCAGTATGAGGCCATAACGTACTCGGGATCACGTTACGGCCACTGGTATTCTGCAGAAACTATGAGAGAGGGGCATGCCTACTTATTTATTCATGTGGGTTTCATTTATAGAAACGATCTTCACGTTAAGGCATCAGAAATCCTAGAGCCCTAATAAGGTGTAGAAAAGAACTAAGTACGACGTTGTGGTATGGACGAAGAACAATATGTCCGGCGCCAAGCTTTTTGCGAACGACTCGATTTGTAGAGTAAAAGTGAGACCGTTTTTCTTCTCAAGTTTAAATTAATACTGCAAGAGTTAACAGTCAGTACTACTACACACAAACTCAAAAAATTCTTAATGTCAATGATACTAATAAAAAACAATTAAATACTTACTCGCGGCCATCTTCCCATATCTTGACGCGCCAGTCGCCCGCGCACGACGCGTAAATGCTATTATTGAAGTAGTTGTAGCTGATCCTATACACCGGCATGTGGTGTCCCTGCACCGAGGACACGTAGTTGCGGTTGTACTTGAGCGAGCACGTGTGGATCATGCCGTCCTCTGTGCCCACCATAAAGATCTCCGCCTTCTCCGGGTGGAAGCAGAGGCAGCTACCGCAACCTAAACAGCATCAGCAAGTAATTTGAGATGGATCAGCTTACGTCTAGAAGGATTGCTTGATAGGCTAGGCTAAAATATATGTAGGTATATTTATTTCCTCTAATTACTACTCTTTGATTGAGTTTCAGCCTATAGAAACGCCACAAACAACGATCCTGTTTTTTCAATCTATCCAGCCGTTGCCAGCCAACTTCCTACAGTCTCCAATGCTGCCTTTGCCGAGATTGTTATGTAGGTGATCGAAGTCCAGCATTTGACGCCAAAACTATTTTAGCACGCGGTAGTTTTGCGCTAGGACAAAGCAACCGTGCGCTTTAGTTCCCATTAGTTTGGAAATATGATACTGACTGTTGACAGTGACCATGGTGCCGTCAGGGCCGGGTATGGGCGGCACGCTGGACGTCAGTGTGATGATGGTGGTGGCCTGTAGTTCGCCGGGCATCACCGCCCACTGCACCACGCGCCCGTCACCAGAGATCGAGAAGAAAGACGCTTCGCCGTCTATCATTCGGGCTCCCCAGCGAACCTGCATTTTTTACACATCTATAGTTAAAAGCACATGAAAATACCATTTAGGTACTGCAACAAGGTACTAAGGCCACAGTTCCAGCACCTCCAGCTACCTATTTCCGGTCATGTCGTATCTCGTTATATCGCAAAGAATCACCATTTGATGAGAGCGAGAGAATAATAGGAAATTGGTAGCTGG